TGCTCAATTCTATCTCACAGTAAACCCCACATTCCTCCTTGACATGAGCTTCAATCCATGGCTGGAAACCTCTCCCAGTTTCCCTTCAAATTTTTCCCTCACCTATCTGTTTCTTTGTTTTCTAATACGTGAATAAGGTGTCTCACCAAAAACCCTTGCCGACATATAATGTTCTATATATATATAGATCTATGAACAACCCTAATCCTAATCCAGTCTAACCATCTGTCGGCTAATCTAATTTCATAGAACAAAACCCTAATATCATTATTAACAAAGCATACTCTAATACACGTCATTTAAAACGAATAAATCAAATAAGTAAATTTAATCACAATTAAACAATGAAATAAAATCAATATATAATTACAATTAAACAATTAAATAAAGCAAATAAATAATTACAATTAACCAATTAAATAAAACAAATAAAAAAAATTACAATTAACCAATTAATTTAAAATAAATTCATACTAATCAACTAAACAAATAAACCACATAATCACATAATTAAATAAAAATGCTATAAAAAAATAAAATAAAATTTCCATTTTATCCTTTTGAAAACTAGGGGTATTACACTATGAAAACAGTTTTTTGTTCACGGAAAACTGAAAATAGAAAACTGTACAAAAAAAACTTTGCTTTGTTCAGTATTCTGGAAACTGTTTTTTGAAAACTCAATTATAAAAAAAGCTTGTTTTCAAAGAAAAATCTTTTATAATTATCTTAAAACTGTTATCTGTTTTCTGAGAACTGTTTTCAGAATTACAAACCAAGTATCAGAGTTCTTGAGAACTATTTTCAGAATTACAAAGCAAACAGACCCTCATATTCTCATTTCTCAGTGGGCGTGTAATGAACATAGGGGAATAAATAGGTTTGATGTTTGATTTATTTATTTATTTTTTAAATAAATATTATACAATGTTAGAAAGGTAAGTCTTAAATTGGTCAATTCATAAAGGCAACAATGTCATTTCATTACATGTCAAATGTGTGAGTTTGTCAGGTGACCATTGCGGGTGCTTTTGTTGCTTTATTAAATTTGAGGGGATATCATTGTCGAGAAAGGTTTATCTTATATAAGGTCAAGTACAAAAAAACACTTATATATTATGCTTACAGTGCATATTACACCATTCTCGTGCAAAAAACACCCATAAACTATGACATTTGTGCAAATATGTCCTATTTATAAAAATTGAACTAAAATGCCCTCAGCAACACATTTTATAATATATATAAAAATATGTGTGTTTTGTGAAATGACTAAAATATCCCTCAATTTATTGCAAATTTACAAATTATATATATATATATATATATATATATATATATATATATATATACACGTCGCCGGGGATGGAGTGAGAGGTTGATGTCGATGTCATCAAGGAGTGGAAGAGATAAAAATGGAGGTGTCGCCGGGGAAGGAGATAAAGACGGAGACATCGCAAGCTCACGGTCGAACCAGTCCTCTCTACAGCCCATCGTCGGAATCATTGTTCACTGCCATCGCCACCACCCGCCGAGATTTCCCCTTGTTTTATAACCGCTATTCCAAGCTTACTGCCCTCGTAAACTACCATCAATTCTGTGCGAGCTTCTCCTTGCTCGCCAGTCGTCTTCATCCTCGTCGGTCCGTTATCGCTTTGCCTGCTATTCAGACCCCTCTAAGCCGTCGCCGATTAGCTGAGCTCATCGTAGCCGTTTTGCCCTTCTGAGGACCACTTTACTCGCTGGTCCATATCGCCAGATGTGGGTCGGAGATATGTGGGTCAGATTTTTCGGCGACCAACAATGATATGGCACCCGGCAGCGAGCTTCTAACTGGGCACATCATCATCGGAGCTGCTATGGGATCTGCTATATTATTCATTGGGGTTTAGATCAAGTGGGGTTGTTTAGGTTTTGGTGATGGTAAGGCAGGCGAACGGTGACGGCAAACTATGGTGATGTGGGGTTTACGAATGGGTCTTGTAGCTTTTGGTGGTTGGCTCTGTTGGCTAGATTTTGGTGTTTGGGGACTTTGGTTTGGTTGGCAGTGGCTATGGTTTTCATGAATAGTATATTGGTTGGATTGCTATGAACATTATGGGTTCGATTGTTGTTATTTATCGAGAAACCCACGTCTTTCTTCTTCTTCCACGACCACAAGCTCTAAAACGCCATCAACTTTGTGAACACATACCTCTTTGGTAACTTCTTCTTGACCATCGGCAACCTTCACCTCCGTCTCTCCCTCTGTAACCTTGTCATCAACAAGATCAGTTTGGTAGGGGCATTTTTGGAAGAGAAAGGGTAAAATGGATATTATATTAATTGAAGAGTATTTTCGCACAAATTAAAAAAAATAAGAGTATTTTTTGTACATCTTTTTAAGTAAAGAATAAAAATACTATGAAAGATATATTTCATGAATGTTTCTTACACTTACTCCCCTCTTATATGTGTATGTTAATAGGAAAATGATACGTGAACCGAACCAAACACCCGAATTAGAGGTCGAATTTAACATGGCTTATCTACGTCAGGTTATTCTTTTAATAGAATAATGATAGAGTAACCGAAGACTAATTGCCGAATTAAAATCGAAACCTGACATATTTTTGCCACGTCATATATTATTCCTTCCTTTTCTCGATGTAATTGTGACTAGTCTCTCTCTAGATTTTATACTTATCCTTTTTCCAGACTCTTCAATTTCTCTCTCCTCCATCTTCCCGTAGAGACCACCATTTTTCACACTCTTCAATTTTTCTCTCTTTTCAAATTCTCTCTCCACCATCTTCTATAGAGGCCACCATTTTCCAGGCTCTTTAAGTTTTTCTTTCTTTTTAACTACTTATTCTTTTTCTATTGTCTTGTTTCTTATCAAGTTAACAAGTCACCAATCAACAATAGACCCATTTTAATAAAGTTTGGATATTAGGGTTTATGGAAGAAAGAGAGATACAAGAGAAAGCCTTGTAAAGTCATGGAGACAAATTTGAAGGTTTTTAGGGGTAGATGTGAGACGAAAAACAAATGAATGGTGGGGAAAACAGATACATGGAGATGAAATAGAAAGTCAAACCCAAATCTTAAAGAGAAAGGGTAAAGAGAATTTGAGAGCGAGATCTGTAAATTTTTAGGCAGAAAAAGTTCAAAAGAATTTTAGAGGAGATAATTCAGACACAAATTTTAGAAAGAAACTGAATAAAATTTGAGAGAGAGAGACATGTATATACATTTTTAGAGAGAGGAAAAGTTAAAATAGAATTTCCAAAGTAATTTCATATTCAAATCTTGGAGAGAGAAAATGATGAGAATTTGAGAGAGATACGTATGGCTAAATTTTGGAAGAGAAAAAGTGAAGAAAATTTCTGAGTAATCGTAATCTGGTAGAGAGAGAAAGTAATGGGTACGAAATGAAGATAAGGCTAAACGTTGAGGATAGATTTGTCTTTATATTTATTAGTTAAGTTATTTTTTTTGAAAAGTTGGTAGCCTAAAACGTGGCATTATTAGGTGTTTATTCGGTATTTTTATTCGGTTTCTCTATCATCACCCTTTCTAATATCGTACCACTTAGTTTCTCTCTCCTCTTTTCTAGCTTCCTTCTCGGTTATTCTCTCTCTATTATTCTGGTTCTTTTATGTTTTGATTTATTCAATTTTCCGTTTTGATTTCTCAAAATTGAAGGTAAACATATATAACCATTAAAATTTCTTCCAAAACAATATGCACAAAACTAAAAAAAGAATTTTTTTAAGAAGATTCATCATTTTATCTTCTCTTGGTTAATTTTTTTTTTTTTTTAAATAAACAAATTTGTTTTCTTTTCACGTATATTTTCATTCTGTAAGAGAATAAATGTCTCTTGTAATGGAAACTCTTGTGCATGACCACCAGATTTTGAGAGAGAGGAAAGGTGAGAAAAATTGATGAAGGAAAAGAGAGAAAAGGTGAGAAGAATTGATGAAGGACGAACAACCAGATGATCCAGATCGTGAGAGGAGAGAGAAAAAAAAAAAGATAGAGAGAGAAAGGGAAAGTGGGAAGAGAATGTTAAAGAAATAATAAAAAATTATTTTACGCGTAATTAGTCTGACGTGACAAGTTCGACATTTTTTTTTGATAAAAAATTTCGGTTTATCTGTGACTGCTCATGTTATTATGACAAACATGAATGTAATTTATGGTCAAGAGTGCGTCTATTAGTCTCGAGACATGAGAATCACAACTATATTGTTGTATTTTCTCGAGAAATAATAATTAGTGCAGGACCAATTTGCTCCTCGTTAGTGCTGGACCCAAAAATATATAAACCACATAGCTCAATCCAAACTCATTGTCTATTTGAAGGATGCGGTTTAGAATGGTGGATGGATGGGTAAGAATGAGATTTAGAATTATGAGTGGAAAAGGAAAAAGGTCAACCACACCGGTCTATTGTGTGTATATATATATATATATATATAGAGTAAATTTTAATTTATTTTAAATTATTATTTTAATATTTTTGCAATAATATAAAATCAAATGTGTGTAATTTTATTTAAACGGGGATGAGTGCCCCCAAACCCCCAGTTGCCATTCCTAATTCGAAGAGAGGGTAGAAGGGAATAAAAAATAAAAAAATAATAATAAAAAAACAAAAATTACATCCATCGTATTCATTCACCAAAAATACATCAATAAACCCTGATTTTTTTTCCATAACAATGGACCCAACAGCGGAAAAAGTGGCACCTGCTATTGTTCTGACCTAGCACAACGGGATTGGTGACCCAAAAAGTAGCACTTACTTGACCCATTAAACCATAACAATCAAAGTTTTACAAACGGTACAAATAAAACAAAAACTTCAATCCTCTAATCTTGCATTTTTTTTCATATCCCATACAATTTTTTTTCCAAATTATATATTTGAGCTGGGGTATTATATTTATAAGCACATTCAAAATGAAATTGCTTAAAAGCTCTACATATTAAGGAACCAATAGACAAGAGTATGCAATAAGAAACTCCATAATAGCATATTTCTTCAAATAGAAATCTCATGAGTTGATAGTATCTAAATAAGTCGAAATCAAGACAAAAACAACTGTACAAGATAGAAAGGAATATTAAGGCAGTGATTAGTAGTAAAAGAGTGAGAATGCAAACATATCACTGAAACGTTTCTTTCCCTCTCTAAAAATCTTTCTATCCATCTCTCAAGGGTATGGTTTATATGAATTGTCCTCCCTGTTGTTCCTAAATGCACAACACCCAACGGAGTATACAATGATAAGGAAGATGAGGAATATGATGTTGACGATAGCCACCTTCTTCCAGTCACTCCTGATGTTGTCCAGCAGCCCAGCCTTGCATGACTGGCAGTTGAAGCACAATACGTTTTGGTCATTGCTCCATGCATCGCAGTCGGGATTCGTTGACGATGAGCTGTTTGTTTTGGTCCACTGGGTTGGGCTAACATACACAAAATTGCAGTGATCCGCTGGCTTACAGCAACCGGACTGCCAAATTTCAAAACAATATCAGCAAGTGTCCAATTATCAATTAGAGACCTATAATTGAAAATATTTTATTTAATTACAAGATTCCCATTTCATAAGAGTATAAAATAATAAATAATAACATTAAAGTACATCTAATTTTTAGAATTTCCATTTGGAAATGCAACTGCTAAATCTCTTAGGCGCAGGCATGAGAAAGCCAAAATCAAATTCTAACACCATTACTCACATAATTCAAATCAAATTAGTAACCACACTTGTTCTAAATTAGACCCAGATAAATACTGGAAAAGAAATTGGGGAGCAGAATCCGAAACAGGTGAAAATGTTCTACTTAGCAATAAAAAAACATAAGGTCAGTAATACAACACTGAGATCAAAGGGAAAATATCAAGCAGTGAAGCTACTTAAAAGAATATAAAACAAAATGTGTGAAGAAAAATAAAATATACTAGTACTTTATGGGGTTTAAAGTACAAAGAAACCCAATTTGGAAGCCACGTGTCCCATTAATCACACAAAATCAGAGTAACATCTGCAAGGGAGATAAAGCAAGACCATCAATCTAGAGCTCAATCCCACGAGGAAGGTGAATAAGGCACCTGTTTCATTAGATTTTTATTTTTATTTTAAAATTTTTTTGGGAGATTATGACATTTTGCTAAGCTCAGGGTAAACCATGAAGCAGGACAAGTCATATAGAATCTAATAAAGCTTCACACAACTTGGCTGCAAGTTTGACACAATATGGAATATTACTGGAATTTTTAAGAGAGACATGCAGAAAAGAATATGTCAAATAGCACACCATGTCTTTTGGGAGGCAGGGATGTGAAACACACAAAATATTAGAACAACAGTTTCAGAAATTATGCAGGACAAGTATATTATTGCAGACCACAGAGAAGATCTGCTTAAACAAGCTTCAAAAGTTCATAATAGTATCACCGAAATATTTATTTCTTACCACATGACAATCAAATCCCAGACACATAAAAATCACGGTCGTGTTCTTAAAACTATTGTTTTGATAAAACATATAATTTGTAATTTGTGTGTCTGTATATATATATATAGTGTATAAAAAGAAGACCAGCTTTTTATCCAAAAAGTGAATCCCATCCGCAGTTTTGCAAAAGGATGCTAACTTTTAAACGACCCATTATCTGAATATAAAACGCATCCACAGCATATATTGTTGACATGGAGAAAACAATCCGTGTTGATAGGACTTTCCATAAATTTCTTCTATAATCTTTAGAAAAAGAAAGAAACAATGTAATACACACAACCTTTTCTATTATGTGGCAGAACCCACTCTCAAAAGTGTCTAAACTTTCGAAAAGTTAAACGACGACCAAAATAAAATTTTTAAAAATAGAAGAGCTTTTGAAAAGTTCCCATACTCACAGATCCAATAAATAAATAAATAAACGAAAAAACAACAAACAAACACAAGAAAACAGCAAACTGCAAAATTTAGTCACATCATCCCCTCTTTCAAAGTAGAGAAATAAATCAGATGCAGATGCTATATAAGTGATAGGGAGTATCTAATTACAGCCTTGGATTTCTACTTAAAAATTGGGAAAATTAGATCTAAATTAAAAACAAAAACTGGGAATTGATATGAATATACCTGAATGGCGGACAAGTGCTGGAGATAGAACTGTTGAACCTGGGTGTTAGCCCTATTATCAATTAAAGACTTGCAAACCTTACTGTCCATCAAACAACTCTTGATCTTGTTCCAATTCTTGGTACTACTAACCCTTTTCTGCAACCAGTTGGAGTAATCACCCAACCTATACTCCTTATACCCTCTACCCGATGTCGCCTCTCCAGCCCCCTTGTTGGTCACCACGAATGCGAAGATAGTGAAGCAGAAGAGAAGCACGATGAGGAGGAACATCACGAACAAGTAGATCCACAGGAGCAACGACACGCGACAGCACGCGCCGATTAGGCCGGCCAGTGAGACCAGCATCAGGAACACGCCCAGCGCGATTACAGGTTTCTCCAGGAACCTCTCGCACTCAGTGGTTCCCTGTCGTGAAAGCCATACTCCGGCGACGACGATTGGGATCGAGAGGAGGAAGGTGATGAAGTTGAGAATACCTACCAGATTGTTGCTCACCCGAAACATATTCAATTAATTCTCTCTCTCTCTCTCTCTCTGAAAACTTAAGTGTAAGAACTCGTGAAGGAGGAATATGAACAGAAGTAGAGAGCTTCAACAGGAGATTGAGTGCAGAGAGAGAGGGTGTATTCTTTGTTTTATATGAGGAGGAGGAGGGAGGGATCTGGTTCAGTTATGGTGTGGGACTTCGAAGAAGGTTCGTGAAACTTGACGCGCTATACGTTTAATTGGAGTTGGGTTGGTGCGAGTAGGTAAGGATGTACTCGCTTTCTGATTTGTTCACCTTTCACTTCTAAACGTTCTTGCTTCTATACATGGCGATAAAAGTGAGTCCCGCAAGGGAAGAAACTAAACTGTATTCTCCGAATTAAAATCAAATTACGCCTTGATTCGAAACCCAAGCCGTTGATGTGGTCCCCAATGAATGAATATTACTCCGTAATTACTAGTAATAATATAAGGTTGACTCAGTGTTGCAATGTGTGTGTAAATCATACGACGCTGACCCTATTAGGTAACTCCACGTACCGTGTACGTGTGTTGCGCGATCAACCTTCTTACACTGTTCATGTCATAAAACGTTACATGTATTTTGTTCCTATTTTATTCATAATTTCCTAATGAAAATAATTTATTATATTTATTGGTTTCATCTCACCAACGCGGAGCCCGTCCGTGCCAGGGGCCACATGCCCGACCTGGCCCACTTATTATAATACTAGGTATATGGTTATATTTTATTTTACTTTTTTTTATATATAAAAATTTCTATATAATACCCCCTAAAAATTTTAATTTCTAAAATTATTTCTCTTTTCTGTTTTTTTTTTTCTTTATTACTTTTTAATTTCCTTAAAAAAAGATAAAATTTTCTTTTTCAATCAAATTATAATATTTTTCCTTTCAAAGTTCTCATTTTCTTTCCCTTTTCTTCTTCTTCTTCTTCTTCTTTTTCATTTTTATTTTTTTTCCTATTCTTAAAATTCTTCTTTTTGTACTTATATTGTAACGACCTAAACTCGAGGTCAAGATTGCTAACCAAGTCCTAACCTGACCCGAAAATACACAAGGATAAAATGATCATTTCATATAAAAATTATGGGATGGGGTTGATACCATTAGAAAGATGGCTCAAAAACATGCAAATTAGGCTCAAGTATGATTCTATTCGGGTTTAAAAAGAAAAAGATACGAGCATTTGAAGTTTGAACTAACATAAGTTTCGGTCATGTCACTTTGTGCTCGAGGTCGTAGCATTTGAAGTTTGAACTAACATAAGTGTAGGTCATGTCACTTTGTGCTCGAGCTCGATTTACGACCTACATTGACAAGTCCCAGTAGCTGTTCTCCAGACCTTACCCAAAACTACCCCAATGCTTGAGCACAAAAGTTTGTGCTTGAGCTCAGGACCACAGTACTCGAGCACAGACCCATTGTGCTCGAGCACAAAAGTTTGTGTTCAAGCTCTGCCCAAAAAAAAAAAATGACTTTAAGGCCATTTGTTGGCCTTGGCTTGGTTCCTACATTGCTCACTAGATTATAGGACGAACCCATACACCTCAAACCTATCCAAAAACATACGTAAAACTCATTTACAACGATGATGAAATGATCATACATCATAAGATAGTTCAAAAATATATTTCCATATTGCAATACATTCAAATATGATCCATAAATACATTGAATTGCAAAATAACACAAGTCTAGCTCAAGAGCGTTACAAAAATACATCTACAACAAGGGATGGAAAAAGAAGGTTCTTTCTAGTCCTGTCTATGCTTGTAGTGGAACATCATCTACTACTTCTTTTCCGTGACCTGAAAAAATATAGACGAATGAGCACAAGGCCCAGTGGAGATTGTCTAACTGGCATCTCCTCAAGCAAAGTAAATAATCTAATACTTTACATGCAAAGAATAGATGAAAGATGGTGGGAACATGCTAGGGATCTCATATATTGCACTTAACTCATCAATAACCACCAATATCAAAATAATGAAATGAAATTTGTGAAATGAGTCATGCACCCGCCCTTCACCCACACACACTCAACCAACATAACACGCATCAAAAACGTACTAATTAGCCGGACTTTGGGTGACTCTTGCCATCCCTAAGGAGAATTTGCTAGTCGTCCCTGACAAAGGGTACCTCCCAACCACCATTTGGGGCCCGAGGTCACATAATTACTCACGGGTACCTCCTGTGTCCCTAATAACTAATTAGCACCTTCAGCAAAGTGGCATCTCTCTTAATTGCCAATTTTTCCTACACACATTTTGCAAACTTGACATCAAAAAGCATATGAATTGAGGTTTTAGAATTTATTTATTACTATTATTATTATTATTATTTTGTGGTAAGTGACATTAATTGTAATTTTTGAATCATTAAAAGGGTTTTTCTAAATATGCAAAACTTAGAAGGGTAAATTAGTAACTTTTTAAGGAGACAAGGCATGTCTCACATGTCCCTTTAAAAATTCCTACTCTTCAAAAATAATATCTAATTTAGGACAAAGTGAGTATTTAATACAGAGAAACATTGAATAGTCAACTCAATAAACATGTAAAAGAATAAAGAGTTCCGACTCAATCGAACAGATTATGATTACTGATAACAAAAAAACAAAAAAAATACAGCAGGCAACCTATAAGAAAAAATGGTTAATTACTCTAACTTTTAGAACAGGACATTTCACTTTATTTATTTATTTTGCTAACATTCCTTTTTATTGATGTAGAGATATTACAACACTAATTTTTATTTTTTTTTAAGTATATACACAAACTCGTCGTATGCAAGCAGATACCCAAATTAAATTTCGAAAAAAAGAAGTAGATGCCCAAATCGTTTCAAAATATTGGAACTGATACCCGACCAGAGCTTGCCCTCCATTTACCAAAAAGGAAATATTGGTTTAACGATTCTACGGATGATTTTAGCATTTTATAGTATTATATTCAAATGGAGTAGAAAGGAAAAAGAGAAACTGTCCTGTTGTTTAGGTAATTATTTTACTCAACCCCATTTCTTTTCTTTTTATACACTCATCGTTAGGTCCTGAAAATAAAAAATAAAGATCAGAAGGAAAGAAAAAATATATATACGAAGCCCTTCTACTACTACCGGTTGTAGTTCGCTTTTCTTTTTTTCTTTTATATTTTATTTTTTTATCTTCTTTACTTCTATTTTTAATCACTGATTAGATCTTAAAATTTAAATATAATGCACTCCAACTAAATCAAATCTTAAAAATGAATCAAGTAATATAACTAAAATCGAATCATTTACAAATAATAATCAAATTCAGTATAAACCGAATAAACCAAGCATGTGGGTTGCACTTTCAGGGAGGAAAAAAGTAACATGTTGCAGCACCACATTTACTTCTCTAAGCATTGGAAGCATCTTTGCAAAAACTACATATTGTTCCACCATATAAAAAAATAATAATAATAATAATAAAAAAAAAAGGAATACAATAATCTTTTTTGCAGTTAATGTACTGTCGGTCCTGCAGTTATAGTTAGTGGACCAATTAATTTACATAATATACATATATGCATGCATATAATAAAATTGTGGAGAGAAGTAGGGAAAGATATACCTACCATATATTAATATTCTTATTGTTTTCGTTTTATCCCTAATTGCACAAAACATCTTATTGTTACACCCTTCATAAGTTTAAGGCAGATTCCATTTTTCACCAACCCTACCATTGAATTACACATTCATCCTCACATGTCATGCAAAACACCAAGACACGGATTTGCATTTCTCTTATCACAATAAAGACACTTATGTTGAAGTCCGGCCTCCTCCTAGATGCGCGCAAAGAATACCTCCTCCTTTTTTTTTATTTTTTTATTTTTATCTTTTTCTTACTTCATTTTTAGCATGCAAGATGGGCATGAAAAAAAGAAAAAGAAAAAAGACTTTATGTGTAATTTGTTCTAACCTCATGAAAGATCAATCTAATTTACCCTATCTTATTCATCAAAATTTTCTAACTTAATTCACTGCACAAGGCAAATCAAATAGTGAGATTTTATACAATAAATATTCTCTTCCTCCCAATTTGGGATGAAGTAAAATGGTGGACTGGGAAGGATTCTTCATTCCTCTTCTCCTATCATTCCAGCTTAAAGCAATGTAATAGTGCATCACTTGTTGGCAATGGTCTTCATTATTATTATATATATAAACAATAAACAATAGCTAAAAAATGATGTGCCTTTAAATTTTGATATATGAGTAAACTAGTATACTGCCAAAGAGTGTAGCTGATTTTTTGTTATATTAGTGAGTGTGAGTCAATCTTGTGCTATCCACAATCTGTTAGAAATAGGAGACATTTTATCGGTCAAAAATCTAACTTATTCCCTTACATATCTCTTTTTCACCCATTTTTTCCTCCATGTATCCAAAAATTTCTCTTTACTGAATTTTATCCTATCTTTCTCCACTTATCCAAAGATCAATCCTAAAATGTCTCTTTACTTGCTCATTAAAGAAAAATGCTACTTATTTTGTTTGACTTGGCCAAAGAAAAAATAACATTAGATATTTTGCTTTAAAAAGTGAGAGTTTACAAAAAAAATAAAAGTTATTTTCTAATTGCTCACTCCTCCATTCACATTGAGATGGCAGCTGAAACAACAAATTCCACAGATGCAGATGCAGATGCAGTGGCAGTGACAGTGACAGTGCCAGAAGAAAAAAGCAAGGCAAAGGAAGATAGCCAGGCGATGAAAGATAAAGGAGTTCAAATCAAACATGTTATATTACCATTAACCACTCTTTCTTTTCTTCTCTCTCTTCCTATTCTTTTCTCGGTCATATGGCTGCTATACATGCGACAATGCGATTGTGAACAACTCTTAAAGCTGCCCAAACTACAGGTTGGGATTGTAATTGGCTTGATCTTTATTTTCCTTGTTAGTAATATTGTAGTCTACTTGCGAGCTCGGTTCCCAATGCCCGGACTGCTCTTGGTTATGGTGCCACTCATCATGATGCTCACCGTCGGACTTGCCCTTGCCGGAGCTTACAAGTCAGAGAGCCGGACCATACCGGGCTCACCCTCGTGGCTACAAATGATTGTTCATGATAAAAACTACTGGAACAATATCAAATCTTGCATATATGATACCAGAACATGCAATGAGTTGGTGTCCAGATCCTACATGCTCAAGTCCTATGACTTCAGTACCACTAAATTGTCCCCCATAGAGGTAAATATCAATTTCTTGACATCAAGTGTTCTTGTATGTGTACGTCGTTGCATATATGTATGGCACAAGCAAGAACACTTCAGTTTGATATATCATGGTATATATAAATATGCATGTGTATTAATCTCATACAAAATTACTCATTATTAATTGTATCCTCCTATATATGTATATATATATATATGGTGGAAACTTAAAAATGAAGTCGGGATGTTGCAAGCCACCAACAAATTGTGGAATGGAGTACGTGAACGCGACTTACTGGCGGAAGGAAGATGGTGCAGCAGATAGCTCAAACCCATACGACAGTGACTGCGATTTGTGGGAGAACAACAACACCATTTTATGCTACAACTGCCATGCTTGTAAACAAGGATTTCTCACAACATTACAGGGAAAATGGGGGAAACTTGGGGTCTTCCTTTTTGTCATGTCATTGCTTCTCGTTATCTCCCATTTGTTGCTCTTTGTTGCCACAATGTGGGAGCGTTATGGAGGATAGAAGAATATTTAATTCCATATATAGGCCTCCATCATTTATTATTTATTTTTCCACCTAATGTTATATCTTTTATTTTGGTTCATGTACGTTCAGACATCAAATAGTTTTGTCTCGAAAAAAAATTATCTGAGCGATTTAAATTTCGGAATTAATATATTCGTTGTTCTCCCTTAAAAATACTTTTCCGAATCCCCATAAAATAAAGGGAGAAAGATTTCCTGTGTTTTAAATTGAGAGGAAAATGGCTTGTTGGGTGGATGGCCACCAGCGAATTTCCAAACATATATATATATGCCAAATCACTACTATATAATATATATATATTTCCACTATGGATTTATGATTTTCGAATGAACATGAATTCCTCCGCTTCTCTCAATTTGTCTCTCTACACGTACGTTGTTTAACATATACCAACCCTCATTACGATCAACAACTACAATTAAAAATACCTGAATCAATTTCCATGCATTTGTCACTCAAATAAATCCTCTCTCAGCCCACTGAAATACCTGTCTTCTCAAAAACATATGTTGCATTTTTTAAATAACCGAGGATATGTACATTAGTAAGTCATTTAGGTTTCAATCACATTGTCTATTATTTTTTAATCAAATATCCATATCACTATTTCAAATACTAAATCATATGATTCAAATTCGCTCCTTTTAAAGCCCTAGTTTGAAGCCATTTACTGTTGTTGCTTTACTAATCTGGACCTCTATAATGGTGTCTGAAAGCCGGTTAGTGCCAAAGTAGCTAAAGTTTGGACCTGGAATTGTGTGGATTAGTGCTTAATGGTAGGATGGGCTTTGGATGTGGTCCAGCTTCAGCATTATTATAAACAACCCAATCCAACTTTAATGTATGAGTTGTATATAAAATAAGATTGAAACGCGAGTACTTTTCCACAAGACACCATCACTAGTCAATCTCTATCAAAATCTTTAATTAATTTTTGTGGAATTCGACATGCATAATTTACCAGCTACCAAGTCAAGGATCAAAGATGATCAAGCTGTATTATTCAACTCAGGATTTTAAAGTCGGAATGCGTACGTAAAATTGACTTAGTCCGTCCTCTCGATCTCTCTCACTTAAAAAATTAGTATTCAAATAGCGCCCTACATTTTTTTATTCTTGCTGCTGAGTTCCAATTGGCACAATTTGAATGCTGATTACCCGCTGAATTACTTTGCTTTTAAGCAAACACTTAAAAAAGTTGGCATTGTATCTTCTTAGCTAAGCCTATTTTATATTATATATTATGCACACACCCATCAACAACCTAAGAAAGAATAAAGTGTAGGAATGAAACAACTTAGAAAATTCCTTCGTATCCATATGGAAATACCGAAACCATAAATATGCCTTGTCCATACAAGCGCGTTGTGGACTGACATGTGTCACTTATGTTTTGCTGCATAGGCCGACAAAGGAAAGAATTAGGAATGGATGAGGCATTTTTAAAGAAGATATTGTGTATTTTCTTAAGATTTACTACGTTATGTTCTATTCGGTAGAGAAAAAAAAAATTGAATGGAAGAGAGAGAAGGGAGGATGGATGAGACATCCATATGGAAGAGATTGTGGATTTTCTTCTTTTTGTTAAAAGAAGAAAAAAAACTTGCAATTTTCTATATTTGTTAAGAAAGAAAGAAATCGAAAGTTTTAATTATTTTTACCATTATATCCAATAATGTTTATAATATTGTAATTTATAAAAAAATAGTACTATAATTTTTACCATTATATTTAATAATATTTATAAAGGATATTATTATAATTTAAAACTAGTATAATTTAGGATAATATTTAATTTAAAACTTCTATAACACTTGTCTTCCCTCATTTATTCCTCCCATTTTTAAACGGATGAAAATTTGTAAAGGAGCCTATTCTCCTTTCTTTCCTTGTATTACTAAATAAAGAAAATTTCGTTCTTTCCGTTTTTACTTTCTCTCTTTACCTATTGGTAAAACCCTTACCAAACAAAGCATTAATTGTTATATATTTTATTTACAATATTTGATTTATTTGTTATGAATAAGTAAGGGAAATGACAGTGACTATATATGAAAAATATATACATATATATACACGAGAATTCATACTTTTTCATTCATGTATACTAAGGATCCTTTAAATTAAAAACTATCTACAGTATCATAAATTGAATCACTTACATATTGACAGTAGTATTTTAAGTAAATTTATGGTTAAAATTACACTATATCAGCCCATTTAATAGGACTTAAAATACTGTGTCGTTTTAGGGCTACATAAATGCTATTAGTAAAAAGTGTTTAACTCCATGAACTACACGAACATTGTCAACCCATGAGATTTGATTTCCAATTTTCATCATCATCTGCTGTAATCCTTTAAATATTCTCTTCCTTTCTTTCTTGTAATATGATTCATGAGATTTAATGTTTTTAATTGTTTTGATATTCTTAATTGTTTTAATCTTCGGATTTTTCATGATTTTGCTATTTTTTATTTATATATTTTTCATCAAATTCATTAGAGTTCATAGAATGTAACTATACAAACATGTTATATGATTATAGGGGGTTTTTACTAAAACGATATAGTATTTGAAGTTTTATTAAATGGGCTAATGTGGTGTAATATTAGATGTTAATTTACTTAAAAAGCCATGGGTTAGTGTGCAAATGATTCAATTTATGATAATGTAGAAATATTTTAATTTAGAGGATCGTTGTCCTAAGAAGGCAGGGGAAAAAATATTTTAAATGCAAAAGTAGTGACATTTTCAACATATTCAATTTATGTAGATCATAAAAAGTGGATTCCATTTAAAAATATAAAAAAATATTTGACGTCTACGCCTATGCTTTATAATTTAATCAAAACAACTACTAAAAATAATTTCACCATGAATTCATGCCTTTCCTGAGTAATTAGATTGACATTAATTTACTTCATAATGTAATCGTCTCTCAGATGAGCATTGAAATTTATCAGCCTGCCTGATCACACGACTGAGAGTCATATATACATATTGTGTATATGTATATATACCCTCACAAACGCGTACGTACACAGCTCAGCGGTAAAAGGATGAGATGGGCAGCCACCGAATTTAACCATAGAGCAAATTGTAAAACCAAAGCTGGCAGAGAGACTGGCACCAAACAAATACCCAATCCAATCCAAACACTCCCTACTACCGACAAAACCTAGAGAGAGAAAAACTAGCAGAATTTGATGGGGAGCAGTCAATTAGCACCGCCCAAATCCACGGTCAATGCTGGCAATTGCCCGTTATCCCATTTGCGTTTTTTTTAATCACCCCTCTCAGTGGTGACCGGTTTAGCCGGTGGTCTATGCCACCCTCCAAAACAAATTTAATACTTACTGTCCTCAAACAACCCAATCAATTTTTTCCCATCTTCTTCCTCAATTATTAATTTATTTGGTTTCAACTATCTATATATATATATATTCTGTGTATCTAAAAGTAATTAAAAGATAGAAAAAAATAAAAATGAAAAAATCACTCAATCTTGAAACAAATGTTTGCATGCTGGCAATTAAGTCTACAGCAAGGTGACAAAGAGATGATGAAGGGGTGGTGGTGACATATATTAATGTTTTACAAAATAATTGTCTTGTTTTGGCCTTTTGGGGTTTTAACTTATATTATTAAATTTCACTATTACTCAACGTTTAACAACTGCTCTCTCAATTAGACAACAATTCTCAATGGTATAGACTTATTGTTAACTTGAGACGTCATGATAAAACAGAGTTCCCATAGTGAGAAAAACGAGTTTAGACCCGGTAATGGATGGAATAAAGATAATTGTGCTTCTCAAAAATTAAGAAAAAGTAAAGATAATTATAAAGAGAGAAAGACATGCCATCTTTGTGGGCAACCACACAATCTATTACTTTAATCATCTGTACCCATACTACTACTACTATAATACAATCACCCATATTTTTCAAAAAAACATAATACAATCACCCACGCCAAACCACTGTGTGTATAGACTTGGGAGTAATATTTTTATTTTTATTTTTTCGTTTATAGAAACTATAAAGTCTAGTCCTCTCTGTTTTAAAAAAATGAGCTGTTCTTTTAAGTATTTATAATTTAGTGTATCTTGAAATATATAGGCTGTTTATAGTTTCTCTGTCATCCAATTTGGCCGGCCTTTAGCGCGTTAACGCGTATACTTGTTTTGTAATAGTAATTGTGGGTGACCACTATATATAACTCTTCCTTACCTTCCCCTTCCTCAGCAGGTGCAGAAAAAATAAACGCATCTGTTCTTCATCTGTTTCATCCATCCATCATCGGCTCCGATCCATCCACCACCCCTAAAAACATCCCATCATCCATCACCCACTCTCAAAACCAAAAAAACAATCCCACCCAGAACACCTTTTTTTTTTTTTCTCTCTCTCTCTCTCTCTCTACAAATCTGTCAGAAAAAAAGTTGGGGCCAAAGTGTGGTGTGGTACAGACAACAAGAAATTGAAAGAAAATAATGCCTTCGTTGGAGGAACAGTTGTTTCCGTCAACGCCCGGTAAGATTAAAATAGACAGACCACACCCCATGAATCGTCATGTCCACCGATGTTTCGCCTCCACCAGCACCATGTTCCTCTGGGCTCTCTTCTTGATCGCCCTCACCGCCTCCTATCTCAGTTTCCAGAGCTTCGTCGATTCCGGTAGCCGCTACTTCACCTCCTCCTGGGGAGGATCCCAATGGGAGAAGCAGGTCCGCAAGTCCGCCGACACCCGCCGCTCCGGCGGTATGTCCGTACTCGTCACCGGCGCTGCCGGTTTCGTTGGCAGCCACGTCTCCCTCGCCCTCAAGAAGCGGGGAGACGGCGTTGTTGGCCTCGACAACTTCAACAACTATTACGACCCTTCCTTGAAAAAATCCCGAAAAAAGCTTCTCAATTCCAACCATATCTTCATTGTCGATGGTGATCTCAACGACGCGCGTCTTTTAGCCAAGCTCTTCGAACTCGTGTCTTTTTCTCACGTGATGCACTTGGCCGCGCAGGCGGGTGTGCGATATGCCATGGAGAACCCAAACTCCTACATCCACAGCAACATTGCCGGCCTTGTTACCCTTCTCGAGACTTGCAAGTCCGCCAACCCACAACCCGCAATCGTTTGGGCCTCTTCCAGTTCTGTTTACGGGTTGAACGAAAAGGTTCCATTTTCTGAATCGGATCGGACCGACCAACCCGCGTCCCTCTACGCAGCCACCAAGAAGGCCGGTGAGGAAATCACCCACACGTATAATCATATTTACGGGTTGTCAATTACCGGGTTGAGATTCTTCACTGTTTACGGCCCCTGGGGAAGACCCGACATGGCCTACTTCTCCTTTACCAAGAACATTTTGGAGGGTAAGCAAATTACGGTATACAGGGGAAAGAACCGGGTTGATTTGGCCCGGGACTTTACATACATTGATGATATTGTGAAGGGGTGTGTCCGGTCGTTGGATACGGCGGCTAAGAGTACCGGTTCGGGTGGGAAGAAGAGGGGACCCGCACCGTACAGGATTTACAATCTGGGTAATACGTCGCCGGTGACTGTACCCACCCTTGTCAGTATTCTGGAGAAGCACTTGAAGGTTAAGGCGAAGAAGAAAATAGTGGACATGCCCGGTAACGGAGACGTCCCCTTCACCCATGCCAACATAAGTTTGGCCCGGAGAGAGCTTGGGTACAAACCCACTACCGATTTACAAACCGGGTTGAAGAAGTTTGTTAGGTGGTATGTATCCTATTATGGTAACCCTCGTGGCAAGCCTGTGCATTAGTTTTTTCCTTTTTTCTTTTTTTTCTGTTTTTTTTTTTTTTGTCTATGAAACTTTTCTTTCTTTCTTTTTCCTGTTTCTAGATTTTCTTATTTTCCCGGGAAAATGAATAGAAAATTGGAAAACAAATTCTAACGAAGAAAAGGGAGGGAAAAAAAAAAAACAATTCTTTTTTCTTCTTGGGGATGAGGGGAAGTAGAGATTTATCCTCTGTTAGAGTTTTGTTGTTTCCTTCTTTATTGTAAAGGATAAGAAGTTCCTCCTAAGTTTGTTTTGGTTACAATTTTTCAATGTTCATCCAATTCCTGCCCCTCTTTCTCTCTCTCTCTCTCACACCAACATAATTTGCGCATTTATTATTAAACTTAATATCATAGTTATACACGCGGACATTATTTGAACAATTCAAAGTTTATATATATAGTAAATTAAAAATGCCTAAATGGCCTGGGCAAAAAGCATCATTAGATTTGAAAAAAGTTTAATAAGCTCAAATTTACTTCTTAATTTGTTTTATTTGAGCTAGGATCTTCTTTCATCTTGTGTCCTAAAATGCAACCATTTTAAACAATTGTGAAGTTGTAGACTATATTTAAAGGAACCTTTTGAAAGAAAAAAAATAGTAGTTTTACAAACTTCTAAATTTAGTTCATTTTCTCAAAGATCATAACTTGATCATGATTTATATTAATTAATCTGAATTTTGTTTGGTTAATTTTAGTTATTCTAGGCAGTATGTGATGTAGAACAATGCTACTGATTTTTCACTTCACTAATTTTTATTCTCGTACTCAAAATTGGTACTGTTTGTATTTACAAGTATGTAGAATTTCAATGTTGTAAATATATATATATATACAGAATAAAAAAATATACACTGTAATTAAAAAAAAAAATTGTGGGGACAGCTAAGGGATGATTGAATGAACCGAAGAGACAGCTGAGATGAGAGAGAAAGCTAGAAGGACCGTGAAATACGGGTGAGAGTTGGGCCCATCCATGTGAGAGAATATAAAGCCAAACCATTGGATTCGATTAAAAAATGGGCCAGACCTCTCTAATGATCCAGCTGTAAAGTCGATGTTGGTACGAATTCGTCTTTTTCTCGCCGACAATAGGTAGATTAATGATGGTTGTTGGGACTCTTTCTTTTTTATTTTTTATAGACGTTTTTTTTCTTGGGCCCTAAAGAGCGTCTAAGTTGTTGGTGTTTTTATACCTTCTTGTGAGTGTGTCGTCGTTATCAGCAATAATTAATTAATTTTGTTATACTCTTTCAATTAAAGGAGCAAGAATCCAATGGAAAGTATATGTAGTTACTTGTCATATAATGTACATAAATAAACAGTTTGGACTGAGGCTTTCATCCACCGACAGTGTGTGGATCCTATGATAGATGAGACGAATATGTTGATTGTTAGGGTATGGTGGTGTTGATTAATCCTATGATACCTCTCAGATGAATATGTTGATTGTTATGGTATGGTATTGTAGATTAAGATCGCTAATTTGATTTTTAGAAAGAGAAATATTTACCAGGGGAGTGCAACATCTCAATGCAGAAAGATGTGGAACATACCTACAACATTATGACGGGGATCATGATACCCTGTAACCTGTCAGTAGTCGCCCATAGAGGTTGTCAAAATCACTCCCATAAGGCCTCCCACACTTCGGGCTGAGATCCATCATACCATTTGTAACAATCCTCACCCTACTCAAACACAATATTGTATAATTATGGCTCCCCTGGACCAGATACTATCCCTAGTAATATTTTAGAGTAAGCATGCTTAATTTTAAAATTCGGCCATCACCGTTTTAAAACCATTGTGTCGTAGAAAGGTGTAAAACTTACATATAGCACTTAACAATTTTCAGACAATGTAGGATCATGACATTCTGTACCCTGCCAATGCTCCCCCACATCACATCCGCCCACAGTTTACAAAAATACTCCTAAATGTGGCATGGCCAAGAAGGATCATGTAGGGAAAAAAGGAGGAGGATCACAAGTCATAAGAAAGCCACAAGGCATAGTCTTTGTACATGGACTGACCGAATTTGTGGAGGCATACAAGAGCAACCTAATTAAAAAAAAACATATATGTAAAACCTCTTAGACTTGTACCTCACTTGTCAGTCCCTAATGCTGCTTTAACTACCACCGCTTGACTATACAACCATGGATGAAATATCATTCTGCATCACAACTTGTCTAAATTAAGCCAGAGTAGGAAGTATGAGATGGATTGGTCCGGGCACCCTCATCAACAAAGGGATTCCCGAATAGATTTGTTGGATCACAGCCTATCATGGATTGCTGCTGCTGCTGCACTATTAAAGCTTCCTGTTGTTGAGCCATGACGTCCATCTGCACACTAGTTGGCGGTGCTAAGTTGCTTGAAGCTTGAAATTGGTCTTGGGTATAATGAACAGCCTCGAGAGGATTAGGTGCCATTTGCCCCGTGTGGTAGTCTCCATTCTGGTTCGTGCTTGCAATGGCATTATCATAAAGACTATCCAGTGTTAACCTATCCAGCCCACCAGCCTGCATTCGGATATAGTATTAGTGCAAAGAACCCAATGTGATAGCAGATTTGAAGCATGGAGGAGGAGAAAAGAAGCATACTATAATAATTAGCGATGAGACCATTCTGTCTCTAGGGAATAGAAGCACAAAAAATGGTTTTAAATTGAGTTAAATGTTAGCATTTATATATAAACAGATTAACTGGCTTTAAATTGATCGTGTCTTATCAATTTTATGGGTTGGCACATCGACCAGACATGACTTGTATATCGAATGGGTTGCATGACTTATGTTCATATATATCTATTTAGATTAATGCTATCAAGAGAAACCCCTTGGTTACAAAAGCCATAAGTTCTTGTTATTGACAGTTGGATTGAGAGATTTATTAAAAAATCGATTTGACTTTTCACGCATCTCAAAAATTATCTCAATCCAGTCATGAGAGGGTCTGTTAATAGTGTTACATAATAAAAACCCTGACTTGATATGAAATGAAGATGACCAAGTTGCCAGTCGTCAACCCTATTGTCAATTTGGAACAACAATTTTCAGAGGCCCTCTCATGACTAGAGTGACTAGAGTGATGAGTAATTATGTAACACTATTAACATGACGCATGCACTACACAAAGGACTAACCAGTGTTCTCTCTGAAACTGCAGCTCCATTTGAGCTTGGTGCTGTAACTAGTGCAAGCTCCCAACCAGTAGATTGACATGCCAAAGTTGAACTGTTTTTGTAATTAGATGGATTTTCTGTAACAGTATTGCTATGATCGATTAGAAATGAAATAATTAAATAATTAAATACTTCAAAAGGAAAATAAGTTGTGTTAAACAAGAAAATTAATTCACCAGGGGTAAAAATTGCAAGAGCAAGGGCATTTTTATCATCCAATTCTGATGCTACCTGAGTTAACTCATCCAAGCCCTAGTAAAAACGCAAAAACATTCCATATAAATCACGATATCAAACAATTGTCCTACTATAAAAACATACCAGCTCAAGGAGCCTTACCAAAAGATCAGTAACTTGTGGTTGTGGTGTGGCTTCAGCCTCATTGTGAGCATTCAGTTCACGTGATGTGACAGATGGATCTGATTTTTCTTCATCATCGTTATCTTGCTTATGATCAGTTTCGAGATCAGGTTCAGAAGCAGCAACCGCTTTAGGACTACCACCCCTGTCGTCATCGTTCTGATGAAACATGAACATGAAAAACCATTGGCAAAGATCTCTAGGCATTAACAAAAATTGAGCACAAACTTTCAATTGCTCTCGCGTAGGAAATACTTTGGTGCAACATAAAAGCATTACTGTAATCAATATTGGAAAATTTAAAGGCAATGATCAATTGGTTGGTTCAAATGATGCAGAAATTTTTATTATGAGAAAGCTTTATACCACATTCTGCTGTGCATGGTTGCATTGAATATTTGCCATATTTGTGAAACTGTCATGAAGAGCGCAAAGGTGACTAATATTTACTTCAAATCTCTTTCCTTTTCTCTCTTTTTGTTCTCTCTCTCTTTTCTTTTTTTTTTGGTTCGTGGGATGGGTTGGCGAATCGAATCATGAAGAGCTGAAAGTCTTGCTGACAAGTATTGTGGCAGTACTTTGAAGGAGAAGTGGGATAATCAACAAAACTCAATTTTGTTAAAGAAATTATTGTTGAACTCCCAAAACATCAATGGATAAGCTTAATCTTACATTGTAGATTGGGGTATCGCTTTGATCTTGTACAGAATAATAAAAATAAAAATAAAAATCATACGTATAGGATGATTCTAATGAATTTAACCAAACCAAACCAAAAGCATTAAGATTTACTGAAAGCATTAATGCTTGCGGAGCATCCTTCACATAGTCTTCCATTGCTGCCAAAAATGATGCGGGGGGCTGAAATTTGACATTGAACAGAATTTAGCGAAATCACTGAGAAATTGAACAAAGGGCATAATAAAAATCATCAGAACTGAAACCAAGGAACAAGGACAGACCAAGTCAAATTTTGAAGAGTTTCCATACCTGTTCAATTTTGATATACTTCTGCCCTCGTCCAAAATCAAGGCTCCTGCATAGCTCAAAGAACTCAGATAACCTCTCTGCCTGCAGTAAGATAAGAGATGTATTCCACAACTTGATAGTGAATGTCCAATATATACAGGAATTCAAAATGTAACAGACTTGCACTAAACATGCTCATAATCTAACCTGAAGCGCTGCCCTTCGATAAATACTAAGTGCCCTAACAGCATCATGGCGCTGCATCTCAAAAAACTGTCAGAAAATACAAAGTCAATGCTACTTCTGTAATACACAAGCACCCATCTGATTGCCCAACTTGATAAACAGAAACATACCTTGTCAACCAAATTGAGAGTTCCATCAGTGATTGATACATAAATCCTAACACTTTCAGCTGCAACCTGAAGTAGGAAGAAATGACAGGGAAAATCAAACAAAATCAATTTACTGGTATTCATGAAATAGAGATTCCAGTGGTTCCTTACAATTGCAAAGGCATACTGAATCAAGTAATTGTATCGTGCTGTCCCCTCTGGCTGCAAAAAATGGTATAGGGTGAACAATACAAATTGTTCACAACTAGTGAGAATAAAATGATAACTACCATGTTGATACTGGAAAAGAAGGGAAAAAAACAAGTACTGCATTGACAACTGAGGATGCATTACCTGGCAAGAAGTAAGGCGAAAAAGAACCTGTTGCAAGGCAGGTAATTGCTCGATTAAGTCGAGGGTGTCAAGCTCCTTTGTTCTCTGTTAGAAACACATTATAATGATAAAACCAAAAATAAGTAGACATTTTCCCATCATCCTCATTGTTTTGTCACAATAACAAGTGTGAAATGAGAAATAGAACACGACAAGACTGCACAGGATTCAGGACTTCCAAAGTAAATCATGGTAAAAGTTTTACCCAAAACCCTAATTAGTGCTACACATTCCAAGTTTGCCTCTCACTTTCCTTGGAGGATCACTGGAGCATCTTCTAATTATCCAAGCAATGAAGGTAATCTTTAAAAACACCAGACCCTCCCATAGAACGTAATTTGGCCTATCAAAATTGACATAGCCAAGAAGTAACCCAGTCAACTGCACAGGAGCTTGTTTTACATATTAGTTGATGTCAAGGAGGGGCAATAAATTATTCAGACTAATTCTACCATTCAAAAGTTTCACAAGCCTCAATTACTTGTGTGCAAACTGACAAAGACATACATACATCTATTAAGTTTTCCCTTTTCTCTTGCAAAAGTAAAAATTAATCCTCCTTTTCATGGTATCATCATCTCTTTCTCCCATTAACAATCCTATCTTTCTGGATGAACTATCAGACAGTACCCAATCCCTCACAATAAGACAGTACCCAATCCCTCACAATAAGACAGTACCCCTCACAAAGCCACTTATTATGAGTGAAAGCATCATCACGAATGACGACAACCAAATTACCCTTCTGTATACCTACTTAATGAATTACGAGTGTTTTATTTGTAGGGTCTAAGTTTGACCATAATAATAAAGGGTTGGCAAAATTGAATAAAAGAATTATTCGATGAAAAGTTGAATATTGTGAGTATATGAACCCTTGGTTAGAAATGGAACCTGAGCAGTTGGCAAGTGGCTGCTGAACTGTTCATCTGTGCCATGTCTGCAATATTTTTACTGTTCAAAATTTTATACCTGGGACATAATGGTTGAGGAACTTGTGGTAGAAGAAATAACTAACAGTCAAGTTACATAATTCGGCTAAGTTATTGTGATCATATACACTCGCTGAATTTGAAGTCAAGAATGTTGAAAACACATTTACGGTCATTATTTACACTTATTGAATTAACTAACAGTCAAGTTACAGACTTCGGCTAAGTTATTGCAATCAGATACACTCGCTGAATTTGAAGTCATGAATGTCGAAAACACCTTCTCGAGAAAGCCTTTCAATGGCTCTATGATCCGTCTCTTGCAATGGACAATCCTCAGTTTCTCCCAGAGGGTCTGGCAGTAACATGCCTCTCACACTTTTCACCATGTGCCCATTATTTCCAATAGGGCCCATAATTACATATTAAGAGGACTTTCTCCATAATAAGCCTTGTCGTCTGCCTTGAGTTTATGTATACAAGTTAAATTAGGAGCAAGACTCAAGGGGGCATATACCGGTTGATGAACAGCTAATCCCTTATAGCCCACATATGACACTTCCCGAGGACAGACTGACTCAAGGTATCCAGATATGGAACAGACCATTGGATTCTTGGGGGTACGTGGCTTGGTGGCTGAGGTTGGAAGATTATCAAGGCAGTCTTATCGTCCAACACATCTTGACCTGGCTCAGAGAGAGAGAGAGAGAGAGAGAGAGAGACGAAATTAACTCCCATATGACATATGCCCAATGAGGTGATAATCTCATAAACAGACCACATTTACATGACAACATCACCTCCTAAGGAACCACCCCCCTCTTAACACGTAGATGCGTTGGCCAACCCTATGACCAAAATCCCCTATCCCATAGCTGTAGTGTACCTCTGCTTCATTCTAATTGGACAGTCCCAGTGCACTTGGAGGCAACTCTATGATAAAATGAGTGTTTATCTTTCCTTGAATATAGATAAACACTCATTTTAAGACTCATTGGGACAAGACCTAGCCTTGGGTTCGCTGGCTTAGATTCAATATTTTGACTATTATCCATGCAGTAACCCTTTAAAAATTCTTTGTTACACTTTCCTTTGAGAAGCTCTACATTCTCCATCTTGACAAGGCCTTGACCTTGAGGAGTCTTTAATGATTTCCATTCCATAATCTCTCTCTAGTCAGTCAGCTTCAATCTCCACCTTAGTCACTTCAATCTAGTGTTTTTCTAACACTTTCCTTTGAGAAGCTCTACATTCTCCATCTTGACAAGGCCTTGACCTTGAGGAGTCTTTAATGATTTCCACTTCCATTATCTCTCTCTATTCAGTCAGCTTCAATCTCCACCTTAGCCACCTTAGTGTAGTGTTTTTTTTAATTATGTATAATACTTCTCTAATCCTATTTATACTCGAGAGTCCAAAAATTTATTTTTGGCATCATTCATAAATGTTCCAATATGGTCTTTAGATCGAATAACAACCAGCAAAATCATTCCTGTCCTTTATTGACAAAAAGATACCTATCATTTCTTGACAAAAAGATAACATATGGGATACTGAGAAAATGCTCATGGTCATAATCTTTTCTCAGTTTCACCTATTACTGCTTTCTCTGTCCTAGTGAGTCTGTAACTACTATTATCATGATTTTTCAAGACCATTTTGAAGCTAATGAAGCTTATCTAACAGGTAATTTATGAATCACTTGGAATAGTATGATTTCTTTTTTCGGGTAGATTGGAATAGTATAATTTTAAAGTCAAGTTCTGGACAAAATATTTCTAAACAAATTTTTTTTTTTTTTAAAAAAGGAGAGAAATAAGCACTTCAAAATACACTAGCTTCAGTTTCAAATTCAAACTACGTACCGAGCAATCTGTCTGGACATCATACTTCAGTATGCGGAAACATTCCAGGCACTCTTCAAGATATAAAGCATAATTACGAACCCAAGCAGAGTAATCCCATGCTTAACATCAGACAAAGGGTCAGTCCTATTGCAAGGTTTAGTGATCAAGAAAAACTAAAGATCAAGAGATACCATTTGGGCTAGACTCGTCCTTGAAATGTGATAAGTTCAGTATAAGACCTCTGCTCCGGCTATAATTAATAAGCTCTTCACGAAACGTCGGATCAACCTCCCTCAGTGCACGGTGTATAACAATTAAAGTTTTCAATGCAACCTGAGTAAACATTAGAGTACAAGATAGATTGTCAATACAACCGATCATGCTAGAGGATATTCTAGTATGAAGAAAATCCATCTATATTCAGATATGAGACAGGAAAAAACAAATAGAATCACTGACAACTTTTGGAATTCGATTTTAAAAAATTATAAGACCGCAATTTTAAAAAGAGTTTTCTTTTTATAAATAAAGAGACCGTGAAGGGAATAAATGAGAAGCTTTAAGAAAATATAACGGTGACTTCTGACCCCACACTTAACCATCCTGGTAATGACTTTAAAATAGAAATGTGATTGATAAGTGCATGAGCAGATTTAAATCCCATCATACATAATTTATAGATTTTTTTTTTTTTTTTTTTTTGGATTTCACTCTAAGTAAGAAATAACAGGAGTGATGGAGCCAAGACATTTCTGGTCCTACATCAAGGAGTAATAACTCACCCTTTATGCCCCTTTAGGGAAATGTGTGCTTAAGCGAGTGTGAAGATGACTGACATAATGCAAGTTTTAGAAAGCATCTAAAAAAAAAAAAAAAATTAACATATAAAGAGTTAAGTTATAGGTCCCTTGGTTCCTTTTTATAGATTGGGCCAATTACAGAACATCAGACCCAATAGATATTGGCATTGACATGAAAAGATCCAAAGTGTAGTCATGTTAAAGATGAAAAGGTTGAGAAATAAATGAGCAGGGTGAGAAATAAACAGACAAAATAGGGTTGAGAAAGCAAGAATAAGGAAGGGGAAAGCACAGGGAAGAAATCTTTAAAAACCACAATAATTCTCAACATTCAATTCTGAATAAATCATTACAAGAGCCTCCCTTGTATAAGAAATAAACAGAATATGAAATAAAGAAAAATATCCTGTAAATCCATAAAAGCTAATAGTCTGATACTAGGGAAAGAAACCTTAAATCATTAGAATTAAAATCTCTATTAAAAAAAAAAAAAAAAATCCTTCAATTCTCTCTCTCTCTCTCTCTCTCTCTCTCTTACCCATACACCTAAAGTAAGTGAGAAGCATGTGTGGCGCAATGCATACTTGTTCTTCATTAATTCTTTATAAAAAAGAAATGTTTTATGCAGATAACATATTTTTTAAGTTTCTATGATACTTGAGAACGTCTACTTTTGTAATGAAAATATCCTCAATATATATATATATATATATATATATATATATATATATATATATATCTTTCGTTTCAGAAGGTAAAAAGAAAACCAAGACAGCAAGGAGCCCAGGAGCATACGGCCCAATTATGTGTTTTCGCAAGACGCCTGGCAAGAGCGTGAATGCAGTAAGCAACATCAGCCCGAGGTCTTGAAGCTGAAACCGCATCAAAGATTTCTGAGAACAGAAGAAGTTAATCATATTCATATATTGAACTTACAATCATAATACAAGTGCAGTGCTCCAGAACTCAATAGTTCAAAGGGAAAAAAACTTAACCAACTTGTCATATCAAGGTCCACATTGTGCAATAAAAAAAATCCTCTTACAAGTGAGTCATAAAGTTCCAAATAAACTGGCAGAATTATGAGATAAGTGGACAAACTCTATACGGCAGTTTTCTATTTTTTTTTTCTCTTTTTGGTTTATAAGAATTCAATAATGTTAATCACTGAGCTGAAATCTTTGCAATTGGGTTGAAATCAAACTGGAAGACTTCTGAGAAAAGTGAACAAAAGTCTCACAATTTAATCTCCTGCATATTTGTTGTTCGTTAGGAGAAAACAAGATGCAATTTTTGGTCATCTTCCAACTGGAGTCTAAACCAAAATAAAATATATAATTTTCACAGTTGAGCAAAACAAGATAAAATATTTGACCATCTTCAAACTGGAGTCTAAACGAAAATAAAATATATAATTTTCACAGTTGAACAAAACAAGATAAAATATTTGACCATCTTCAAACTGGAGTCTAAACCAAAATAAAATATTTCCAAATCAGAAACCGGCTTTGCTTAGTAAAAAGCAAAAGGTTTAACTCACTTCGTATATGCTTATCCTTTGCTAGCTTTTCAACATGGTTTGTAGCCTTGACGATAGCAACATCCAGCTCCTAAAAGATATAAGCATTTAAATACTGTCAAAACTGCAAGGAATACTAAACAAAATGAAGAAAGAAAGGAAGAAATAAAAACAAGAACTGTATAAAAAAAAAATACAATTATAGTTAGGAAATCACCTTGTTTTCACTATTTACTTTGGCCAATCCAAGCGTTGTGGAGTCTTTGAGAGCTCCAAGAGCTTTTCTAAGGCTTTGTTGAGCATTACCAGCCGCTGTCATTTATTTAAACAAAAACAAGTCCCTCTAAACCCCAATGCACTTATGAACAACCTGAAAGGCAAAAGGAAATGGACAATTGACACTTATAATACTGTGCTAATGGAGCCTAATAAAATGCATTAAGAATTATCATCTGTAAAATAAGCCGGAAAGACCCCATAGTTCAATTGTTTTCACTATTTACTATTCAGGTTGACTTAGGGCCCCAACATGGTTTTTGCAACACGGTCAAGAAATAAAAGAAATGGTGGAAAGCCCTCTCTCTTCATCTCTTCTCGACTTAAAATGGCAGCCTCTTAGATTCTTTCTGCAGAAAGCAGCCCACTTATGTTGTTTCTCTGCCTGAAACAATGAGCACTAGCCTCCACCTACCTTTACCTCAATACAAAACCTAATGCTTCACACACACGAGTATTATGGCATGGAATTGTCTAGAGTGCCGGAGATGTGCTTTTCAGGGAGTGTGGGTAAAAAATAAAATCACTCCATGATCAACCTTATAAAAGGGTTGTTAACCAATAGTGATTGTACATGTGTATTAATTTGGACATGAGGAGATTACTACATCCCCCGAGGATGCTTAGGTGCGTGTTATACAAAAAATCTTTACCAGGAAATTTATATGATAAACCCAAATGAGAAACATAAAATTAGTACATTTCTATTTATTCCATTTTTTAAGGGAAAAACCAAAAGATCCACCAGTAAGAGTACACAAAATTTCCCAAAATACAAATAAATACTTCCTCCATCCCATCGCTCTTTTCTTTTTAATAATGACCCAAAATAAGTATCCCCTTTGCTTTTTGAGATGTTCCAAATTTTAACTTCTCCAAATTGACCTTTAATATTTTAAAATCTTTTCAAATCAACATAGTCATTGTTTAAATCTTCTTAGAACATAACTAGCATCATACTTTGGCGAGTGCCTCTTGTGTGATTTGCGTACTCCTATTATTGAAGGGAATGTTCGGGAAGATAGCTTTTACACTAGCCACAATTCAGGGGGCAAGATGACAGGAATTTAAGAAAAACAATAATAGATAACTATGGATGAAAAACAAAAATAAAGATGGCCAAGTGTATAGACAAACAAATGATATAAAGTAAAATGGCAGAATTAAATTCATCTTCGTAATCTCAACCAGTTGGGACAAAGACTTTGTTCAGTTTGATGGATCGGAGTGGTAAAAAATATAATTTGTCCTTGGTTATGGCAGAAGCCCGCAGAAACCTTTTCACTACCTTGACCCACATCATCTCTATTTTTGCGATTATATTCACAAAACCTAAAATTAATAGATGTTGGTGAAGAAATAACACACGTGCTATCAGCAATGACAAGTTGTATTACACCATTAAAACCCATCATAGTCATGTTATGAGAAGTATGGTAAAAGACATAGCTTAGACATTTCTCTCAAACTAGACTGACTCGTCACCGAATTCTTGCAACCCAACAACAGCTTAGTGGAAGAGCGGAACTAACTCGATTGCACTGTGCTGCCCTCGCTTGGCCATTTCAATCTCATGTGCAAAACTAATTGACCCCAGGCATTTAGAATTTGTGCGTTTATTTCTCTTTGTATTGCGTAATTTCCTAAATATTAAGCTCCAGTCATGAAGAAATTCACCAAAAATAATGGTTTTGATTATATATCACATTAAACCATAACCACTTTAATGAACAAGAACTCCCAAAGACGTACTATGTACGATTAAGGAGTAAAAATATTATATATCTAAATAAGAACGAAGAAACTAGAGATTCAAAGGGTATGTATAAACAAGAGTTGCAACCCATTCAGCAGCATTTCATGATCACTTGTCCAATCCAATAAAATGAAATAATCAAATTAGAAATATAGTTATCAAACGGTCGAATTAAAATAAATGTGTATCATATTAATTAATCGGAGTGTTGAAGGGGGTTCAAGATTACACGCATTGATCCTTATATATTATCACTACGTATGTGTGTGTGTGTGTGTGTGAATATACTCAAAACGATGAAACCATATTCGAGATTATTTACCTCATAAATTGATCGCCAGAGAGACGGTCGGTAAACGAACGTAGAACGGCCTTCTTCGGATCAGCTTCAAGATGATGATGAGCTCACAGAGAGAGAGTCAGATAGACAAGGTATTGATATCACAATCTATATATAGCTTATGTACACACACGACACACGCATGTATTTGGAGGACGTGACTCATCATATTGGGGTTGTAGTATAATCCAACGGTTCAGCTTGCATAATCTCGTCAGTTATTCCTGTGCTTAACGTTTCAATTTTTTATTTTATTTATTTATTATAATTTTTTTTGTTAACATTTATTATATATTTTTTTACAAGGCTATAAGTGTTGGAAGTTAGATTAGTAGATATAGAGAGTTGAAACCTGACACTCCAAAATCTACCGAAGGCCCTAATCCTAGCCCGAGGGATCTGCTTTTGTTAACATTAAGCACGAAATGCTACTAAAATTTATTTCCAACTTAATTTTTTTTTTTAAAAAAACTACTCCAAGGGATCTTTGGCAAAATAAAAAAAATAAATAAAATGGAGCTCATATTTAATCCACACACTTTGGTGTTGCACACCGACTCTACACTTTAAAAAAAAAAAGTGTACTGATGTGGCTCTACACTTTTTTCAGAGAATTATTTCTCCTTGTGTAAATTCTTGTTTCTTGCTCTCTACTTTATTATTTTAAAATTTTTATTTATTAAAAAAATAATTTATTTTTCAATTGTTTGTTAGTGTTTTTTCCAACGGCTATTTTCCCATCAACTAAAATTATATTACTAACGGTTATAATTGTTTGCTTCGATTATATATTTTAATTTTTTTATAAATAAAAAAATTAATATTAAAAAAATAATATTACATATATAAAAAATAAAAGTACATTACATACCTTCTTCCTACAAATAGAAGAAATATATATATTAATACTTTCTCACATATAAAGAAAATATTAGGCATTATAATTAATCACTCATTTGCCAGAAACGCGATGTAATTGCATTTTATTGTTCCTTGATCCATGCTTTGATCAACGGTGTAGGGGTATTATTTGGATTTTTTTTTTCTTCATTTGTCTTTCCCAATGCAAATTAATTAAATTATTATGCCTCCTAGTTGAAAAAATAATAATTAAATTGATAAGTCAAAAAGTAGGACTCTTTTTATAAAATAATAATAATAATAATAATTAATTTTTTATACAAATTAATAAATCTTTTTTAATTAATTAAATTGTGACTTTTTCTAAATTAATTCATTAATACAACACGCTATAGAAAATATATATACACACACATACAACAAATCTTAAATAAATACATAACAGACCACTGAGACCATGCTATCACTTTTTCATTTTGAAACAAAAATAGATCCCAGGGCCCCGCATTCAGCAATGCCATTGACTACATGAAGTATTATGAATTTGGCGTGAGTTCCACCAAATGGAGAAGCCCACACCAAGGGATTCAATTCGCGGCATTGCAAGCCATTCGCCAAATTGGCTTGCACTATGCATACTTTTAATGATTATGAGTCTTGTGATCTAATCGTATTTTATTTACCTTTCAAAGTTTATGGTGAAGGATCGAGTTTTTAAAAGAATAAAGTGAATACGTAACTAGTGTTTGTTTCTTGTCAAAAAAAAAAAAAAAAAAAACTCCACTTGATTAGTGCTATGTGGATAAATAGTCTATGCAATTTTGATACATTTATTTTATTATATATTTGACTTACAGAGTTGTGCTAGAGTTGTGCTGTGAATAGATACTACATATGGTACAATCACGCGTCACCTAAGAAAGGTGAAGTACTTATATGTTTGGTGTCATTTTTAAATGATATTAGACATTTTAAATAAAACTCAAGAACAAAATCGTGTGGACTTAAAATTCAAAATAGATAATATCATATAATGTTAATATTATATGTTGAGAATATATATTTTTTAAAACTTTTTTTGTTTTTTTTTTTTACAAAATAAGAATTTCTATGTAGTTGTGTTGTGACAACATAAGAATGAAGGCTCCTCTGCTTGATTGAATGTAGTTGTGACTAATATTTTGGATAGGGATGTTTATTGTGCAATTCATGTTTTTTATCTTCCCTCCATAGAGAATGTTACTCGGCGCAAAAAAAAAATTGTATGGAGACTCTTAGGCCCAAAAAATTTGAATGGAGGAGACTCTTAGGCCCTGTTTGTTTGGATTAAAATATTTTTCAAAAAATATTTTTTTATTTTCTGATATTTGATTGTCGTAAAATATTTACGAAAAAAAAAAAAAAAAATTAACAAAAATAATTTATCCATCAATTTTCGACAAGTTATTTTATATACCCCGCCCGATGGACTCGACCTCAACCTTGACCCTTGCCAAACACCGACGTAAAAATAAAAAAATATTTTACCTGAAAAATAAAAATATTTTTCAAAAACAATATTTAACGTCAAAACAAACGGATTTGTCTCACCGAATCTTTGAGGAAGTAATGAGATTTGAGATGAAGGCTCATTCTCTTAGTGGATTGAATGTAACAGTATGACCAATATTCTCCGTAGGCTCTAATACATGTGTTTTTTATTCATCCATCTTTAAGAATGTTATTTGGTGTAAAAATAGAAATTCAAACAGTTTAATTTACAAGTATGCCGCCGGTGCAAATATATAATTTGAGAACAATTATTTTTGTATAAAGCTCCACTCTATGTCAAGCATTCACCTTTATAATTTCTATCACAGTACACAGCACATCACAATGATCCTCATAAACATGTTTATCAACTTGTTATCAATGCTTATTATCTATCAGGCGCAAACTTCACTCTAATAATCCACTGGTCTTCAGCTTGTACATGATTATTATGGAAATGAAACAACTTTTAAAAACCATATTCCATATAACTGTTGTTACAACTGCTCAAATAGATTACAATTTACAAAATGATGGGTTCCAATTTATTCAGCTGACAAATTTATCAGCTTTGAATATATCTATCTATATGGCCTGGGACCAAAATCATTGCCAGGTTAGGTGTAGCTTTTGATATGTGATCATACAATCTTACTAACAACAACAATGGTTACTGGGTTTGGACACCGTTGAAGTTTCTTCTATATCATGCTCCTACAGCATTGTCACCGCCAACTTCAACTGAGCTCATTCTGCGCTAACATGGCAGAATGGTGCTCCAAGTACTCTCTGCTATTCATCTCTGTTAACCTGCATTGAATTGTGATATTTGCCTGGTCAGTCACACAATATAACTGAAGCAAGCATCATTTCCAGATTAACTACTACTTGCAAACCATAAAAGATAATAACTTATACGCATGTCGCTTCAAATTTTACAAATTGGTTTTACAACAAAGTTCCAGGGAGTTGATGTTGAAGTTGGAGATCTAGAATCAGTAAAAGAAAACAGGAGACCAGAATTCAAAAATGCAAGCCAATGTGGAATAATTCGTTTCACTAACATTGGTAACTCCCATCTTCTTAAAGCCTAAAAGACATCTGACTGTATATAACATTCAAAACTGGATGATACCCAACCATTTTTAAACCCATCAGATGGACCAAAAGCCCGGTAAATGTTCCACCAATTTCATGTCCTCCCTACCCCAAAATCAAAGCAATTGCTTAAAATACAACAGCAACAAATCAATTCCGGACCAAAGGAGACATTTCCTAAACAAATTTCAGTTGAATGAATGGATTAGACAGCATTTAGTGAAAGGCATAGAGAATGACACACAAAAGAAAAGAGTTTCCATCTTGGTACAAAACTACAAATATATTGGACCAATAACCAAACCATCCAACTAGATAACAAAGTCCCTATGCTACATCTGAAAACAAGATTTTTGCAAAGCACCATGTTGCACACAAAATACAGGACCAATAATGGAAGTCATAAAGATTAATAATCACATAGGAAAATACAAGCTTTATGTGGTCAAAGTTGCCTATGTCTACAAAGGAAAGGAAGATCAAACCCACAATTAACAACCAATCAGGGCTCCAACGAACTCACTCTCCACTTCTCAACTTCAACATTTAAATATATGTCACGTAATAATATGATCAAACTACTTACTACTCTGTTGGATTGCGTCAGAATTGGAAACTGATTACAAATTTGGACCAACATTATTTCCCCTAAACCCAGCCAGAAGTAGACTCCCAAACCCCCAGCCATAGAAGTTACTACAAAATCCAAATTACTAACATATCCCGAACACATCATACCATGAAAGGTATTGAGAATGCGAGAGAGAGGATAAAGTTTCCATCTTGGTATAAATTTGTCTGGATGATAACAAAACTATCCAAGCACATAATGAAATTTCTACGCTACATCCAAAAGCGGATGATTAGCAAAGCGTCATACCTACTAATGGTGCGATCTTTTGCGAATCCCAATTCATTGTCCACACAAATGTCAAAATCATCATTTTTCCTTGATCTAGAAGAGGTTCTAGGAGCCATTTGTTGGGCATCAGAGATAGTTACAATCCTTTCTAAAAGTTCCAGAGGAGTCCCCTCAGCTGTACACAATAATCTTGCTTTATTCTCATACATCACCTGTAGAAGCAATTCGGTGGAAAACATCAGTCTTGTAATTTTTCATTTTTTATGTTTAAAAAAAATAAAACAAACAAACTATTTGTGCATCCAGTAAGTTGGTAAGGATATACATAGAAGTTTGACACATCATATAAATGAATGTGACTTCTTAATATCATGCTATGGACCTTCCAAGAGGTGTAAAATTTTGGGGAACTTTTGGGTGTCCATGGAACCCAATACTAATATTCAGTTGCATAAATTGTTAAACTAATATATATTCAAAACAACTACGAAGAAAAGGAACTAACATCTACTAGAGTGACAAACCGATACGCTGCTGTCCTATTGTGGAGCCCAAAAATTGGCACACCTTCCAAAGCCAGTGTATGGAAGTTCTCTGCTTTTAAAAAAAATTAAAATTGGTTAAAATTTTGTTCTACAAGCGAATTTGTGAATGACAGAAGCACCAAAAACTTTAATAAGGAATATAAAGCCACCCCAAGTTAAGGACCAACCCCTAGGCAGCTACTGCTTAGCAGACATCCTGAGCCATAATGGCTCTCTTGGTTGATCACAATGAACAACCAAACCAATCAAATGGGTCAGTACAGAGAAAACAGGTAACGATCTAGAGGTCCAGGATAAGAAAATGAATATCCCATAGTTGATACTATGGAACAATTTAAGGTTTTGTCTCCTGTTCTGGACAAGACAGTCTAACGTTCTATGGTGCACTCCTTAAATGGAATACACAACTTAATTACGCCTCATCACAGCTATTTGGTGTTGGCTAGTGAATCTTTATATGCAGTGGACCTTCAAGCCAACACTCAAGATAGAAATGACTTACTGAACAATCCAAAGTAGTCTGCAGCTCCAATAGGTTTGTCACAGAGTTCTTCAAAGGGAAAGTATGCACATCCATTACCACCCATTGGAACCTAACACAGAAAGAACAAAGTGATCGACTATGTAAACTGCTTTCATGGTGATGCCTGGTGCATGTGGGATGGGGAAAATGCATACGCCAGGTGGACCGGTGGTGGACTATGGGGTGCTCTAAGAGGCCCAACACCACCATTGTCGGGGGGAAAAAAATGCTTTCCATATGCCTCAGTAAAACAATAGTGAATTTCAGGGTATTTATAAGCACATACCTGCAATGTCCTTCCCATAACAACTTCCACCTCTTGTGGACCAGCTGCATGTTCACCAATTAACTGTTGAAATTTTTGCTTAAGAAAGTCTGACAAATCTTTCCCGACAAAGTAGAAACCTTGCTCAGCCTTCAATTCAAATGTAAGAATGACAAATTACTGTTAGAATCTACATAAGAAGGAATTGCCAGCTAAGGAGGAAAACATGCTATCATAAAAAATTTACAATGGAAACGGTAGATCTCATACCGAAGTCATTTTGCGATAGTCTACTGAGGAACCGATTTCATGAACTACACATCTTTCCTACATAAAATGAAGTTACCAAGTTATTAAGTGAATAAAGAAAAATGTCAAGCCAAGGGCATTAAAGCCTTTTGTCTTATAAATAAGATTAGATGCAGACCAATATCAAGTGTTCTTATGGATTGCAGACATAAGGAAGTGGTGATTAGATAAGTTCAAAACCCTATTAACTTGATGCCACATCAGGAGTGGCATGTAGAATGAAAAGGCCAGACAACTTTCCATTTCCATTGCCATTATCACCAAGCTTGAGCCTTCTAATCACCAAATTCACAGAGATGCATCCATATGCATACCTTCAAAGTGGAAATGAAGGGTAGAAAAAGATCTCTCTGCAATCCGCCTTCATAAAGGTTATCTGGAGCACGATTTGAAGTAGCAACAAGAATCTATACTTGCCTCCCCCCAAAAAAAAGCACACATAAAAAATTAATTTACTTTCAAGTAGAAAAGTCCATGAGTCGAAGTGTACATGGTCAAGAACACAAACAAAAATAGGAGTTCAATTTACTTACAGCCCCATTGCTGAATAAATGTTTAAATAACCGGTTTAATATTAATGCATCAGCAACATCAGTCACCTATCAAAAAAAGCAAAAAGAAGATAATAAAAAAGCAGCTACGAAGTCCAAAGCTACCAGATGTGATGTATTAGTGGTAAAAACAACAAAATTATATTACCACTAACATACCATAAATTCATCAAGGCATAACAAAATTGATTCATCAGATATCTCGCCTGCAATTACTTCAAGGGGATCTGAAACACCCTTGTGCTTCTGCAGTTAAATTACAACATCAGAGCAATCAAGTTACTCAGTACCAACGCATATTGTCCATGTAAAATCAGAGATAAGAAGATGAAATTTGGACCAAAAGGGAGAGATAAACTTGCATCATGTAAGACATCATCATCAGGATGAGCCATGGCTCACTAACTGAATAATTTTTGCTATCTTGATAATTGATTCGGTCATTCAATAAGAAAAATGAGAAAACTTTGAATTACTGGAAGAGGAGATTGGACGTCTGGTCCAGAAGATATAGAAACAGTCGAGAAAATCAAACTACGAGATTGGATGTCCAGAAGATATAGAAACAGTCGAGAAAATCAAACTAATCTTTCTGGTATGCCCGTTAGATATATATCATCCAAGAGGCAATCACTGACCAATTGGATTTTTTGTTTGCGTGGTTATTTTACTGTGAATAACCAGTCAAAAATACAGTCTTGTCCAAATTTAATCACGAAGATCATTTGTGACAAGTGTAGTATGTAAGCATTGAAAAAACCTCTGGTATTTTCTTTACAGTTGCAGAAATATGAATAATGTTCTTACTTGCAAGCGACTATGGACATTCAACATAAAGTCATGAAAATGGATACGCTTTTTCCTCCAGCTGCAGGGCCTGTGAAAGTAGAATTAAGTGTCAGTAGATATAACTAATTGAATGAGAAGAAGTACTTGTGTTGGATTGGCATTACATAGAAAATATATGATTGCCTTGCCTAATGTCCATGGTATGCAAATAGTTTAATACTTTACATTCAGTAGATATGTTTCTAAGTTTCATGTCAACATTAGAGTAATTTATAAGGAAAGTCAAATTTAGCATATCAAAGATAAGAATAGACTTACAATTGACTGAAAAACAAGTCCATTAACATAGTTTTTCCTGTGCCAACCCCTCCATAAAGATAGAGTCCTTTCACAGGTGAAAATGAAGATTGTGGCATGAAACGGGACCACAACCACCTACTCCTGCAAATGATCTAAGCTGTAAATAAACGATGATGAAGTATGTGAAAAAAATAATATGATAAATTGACAACTCCAAGTTTCCAATTCATAAAGAAAATTTGAAATGATAAAAAAATAATAATAATAATAATATGATCTTGGGGAGGTAGAAACTGGAAGCAAATGAACAATTTACCTCCCAGCTTTATCGGAAGCAGCGTAGCGATCCAACCGGCAGGCATCAGCCGACACAACAGCCTCATCATAGAGTCTCTGAAGCTCTCTTAAGGTGCCTAGCTGCAAAATCAGTCAGAATATCCTCTGAAAAAGCAAAACCAGAACAGGTAGAAGAGCTTGAAAATGATTTTACCAATTTAGGCATAGTTTTACAAGTTCTTTTCTTGCTTCCAAAAACTGAACTAGCTTTAATTCTGGAATTTAAAGCAATTTTAAGTACTTCCAGAGTGTTTATCAGAGGTCAAGTTAGTAAATAGAGTATTCAATTTTAACCAATACACCACAAATAATAACAGCCATTATTGAAGTGCAATAACTGCAACCCAAAAAAGCAAATTTCATTGAAAAACTTAAACTGCCTGTGCTGGAGGAAAAGTTAGCAGATTCTTATCAAATTTTCAGTTCCAGAGGTGATACACAAGCAAATGGGATCAATTTGTTTGCCGTACCTGGCAGCTATCACCATCCATGAGTTCACCCATGGCAATTCTATGCTCGTACTCAACCAGAGGCCCTGCTCTGCTCACTTCTGTGTCAGCAAAACAATGAAAGATGAGAACTTCATGTTGAAGATTGTAATATGAAGAAAATTAAAAGGCATGCAAGATGTTCATAAGAAGGCAACCTCCAATAGTTGCTTTAGCAGCATCGGCAAACAGGGCTCTTGAGATCATACAGGAAGGATGTGAATATCTACAAATTTCAGCATTGTATGCAAGTTTATAAAAGCACCTAATATTTGTATCCACCAAATACTTTTGCCTTCTCGCTAAACCATGGGAGAAAATGTGGCCTTGATGCTGAAAAGCTGATCCATATTGACGAATAGACCGGACTATTGTTCTCATCCTCAATCCAGGGTTCTGATAAAAACTGCAGAAACTTAACCACCCCAATTAAGAAGGATACAACAAGAGTGGTTCACGAGCCTCTGGAAAATAAAGTTCCGAATCAAATAATAAAAAGTATACATATATGTTCTCTATAAACACGAATAATTAACCTTTTCCACTCTTATATAGCAAAAAGATAGAATAGAATCAATTACATATTTATATCCCAATAAAAAAACGGTAGAAAAAAACATAATAATTAAGGTAAAACAGGACATAGGACCTAAATTTATTATATTTGTATATGATCCAAGTATTAGAGCATTTTATTTTATACCGGAAGTGGATTGAATATCATTATCAGACCACAACAAATTACCAAAAAAAAAAAAACTCAAATGTTGAATTATCGTAAATAGAATTAAAGCATGATCGCATCGTTTGGCTGCAATCTAAATTCAAACTAATTCATAAAAAAAGTAAAAAGAAAATGAAAACAGTGTATTTGGAAGTTGGAGCAATGCATGCAGAGAAATTTTGAAATGAGTCAACGCACCCACCTGATTGGGCTGATTTAGCAGAAGAGGTACCCAGAATTGGTTCGACTCTTTAAAGAAAAAACAATAATCTTCCCTTCAACAGCGTGAACAATTTCTCTACTTTAAAGAAGAAATTCACAGTAGATATATATATGTCTATATATCTACTGTGAAATATTCTTAGGAAACAGATAGATAATTTATCAAAAGCAGCTTATTTATATACTTGAAGCTGTATATATAGGATAAAACACATAGAGAAGCAGCCCTAATTTTCAGGAGAATCCACAAACAGAGGAGAGAGAAAGATTGTGGGATCTGCGTCTCCGATTCCTTTTGAGCTTTTGTTTATTTCTAAACTATAAACACGTTTGCGTGACTGCGTCGTGGTGTCTTAATCCTCATCCTAAGACAATCAGTTGTGCGCGTGAGTCACTGTGTGTATATATAGTGCGTGCGTGGTAATATGGGCGCAGAGTCAGCCGATTATCATTATGATAGGGAGTACTTAATTAGTTATTAACGTGTTTTGAATTTTCTGGGTTTTCAAAGATGAATGTGAAAAAAAATAAAAAAATAAAAAAAATGAATGTGGGCCCTAGTCGAAGGCCCATCGCCACAAAAAAACAGCTGACTTCAATGTGGCCCCCATACATAGTAGTTATCTTATCTGGACGGTGCAAGGAAGAGTCAGTGCCCTTGATTAATAGGACCAACGGCCTACAACCCATCATACATACAGAGGTAGCATTGTGTGTAAACTAGGGCTCAACTTGAACAGATTGAGCGGATTGGGTTTACAACTCAGACATATAAAATTTTCAATCCTGTTACACCCTTCAACTCAAATTACTCAATTCCAACCTACTACATTTTAAATTCCAACTCGGTTTGAGATTTCAGTTTTAAAATTGGATTGATTCGAATTATCATAGAATCAATCGTGGCATAAAATATTTAAATTGATCTTTAATTAGCTTCAAATTAAATTATTCCTAAGCACAAAAATATTTTAAAAACTGAACACAAATTTTGAAAATATTATAAACAAATTCTTAGAAAATTAATTTTTTTAAATATTAACATACAATAAATTAAAATTAAAAAAAAAAAAAAGGTGATCATACTTTGAATATTATATAATATAATTATATATTTATATATATTAGACTTCAAGTTAGATTTGGGTTGGTGGCAACTTAATCCAAGTCAAATTCTAATTAAATTCAAGTTGACATTTTCAACCAAAACTCAACCTTAATGGTAAAAATAGTATCCAAGTTTGTGAAAAAATCGAGTTAGGTTCAGGTTATGTTTGGATTGGCCCGCCTGAATTGCATAATCTTGTTAGCCATAGCGTTGTGTCCATATTCACAAATATGGGTTCAATAATTTCTAAACGTGCTCATAATTTTAAAAGAGTAATACTTCTAAGAGGGCTCTTTCCCTATTTAACTGTTGGATCGGAACAATTGTTTAAGATTTCTGAAAATTCAAATGAATTATTTAATATTTTCTTGAGAAAATTTAAAAGTAAAAATGAAACAGAGACCGTATTTATTTATTTTATTTATTATTTTAACAGGTATATTTCTCATATATTTTAACCAGATAAATAATTAAATATAAATTTTCTAACCATCATATTATGGTATAATTGTTAAAAAGAAAGTTCAAAATTTATTTTTACAAAAGTATTGAAATATATATTGTGGTTTAGTACAAAGTTTATGCATGCAAATTATGCAATATGATAATTGGAGGCGGCGTCTACAGACTATTCCCAAATACATATTTATTTTATTTTAAGACCCAAATATATATATTTATTTTATTTTAAGACCCAAATATCCATACACCTGGTATATATAAGAGTGAGTTTTTTAATCTATTTCATTAAAGCTAACAAAATGGAGCAGTGATACTCATATCAAACACTTGTAGCGAAAATAATTTTGAATTGGCTATTTATGCCAAATACAACTAAGCGAAGGGCTCCACTTATTTATTTATTACATAAGTGACCAATTAAAAAAATAAATCTAACAATTCATTGCAACTATTAAGTTCATTTTCCAACAAAATTATATGGCATGACTTTTTTTTTTTTTTGAGTTTTTCAGTTGGAAAACTCCATTCAACAGAATCAACAGATCAAAGTATGGTAAAATCCAAAGCTACTGATTCCCTTATAAGCATGGGAAGAGTCGTGTTAAAAACTACATTTTGGTCGGGTGTCAAAGCATGGTGACCAAGTGTATGGGCCACTATATTGCCCTTTCTGGGAACCAAGATAAACTCCGGTTGAGCAAACTTTGAATAACTTCAGTAGCAGTGTGATGAAAGTATCAGAAAATATGGATTTGTCACAGCTGACAATCACCTTCCACCATAGCATTCTCAACATCCCACTAAACCAGTCAAAGAGAGCTTCTCTAGCCGTCAATGACTGCATAAGCTACATAAAAAAATGATTTCTCCCTTCTCATCAGTCATCCCTAATGATCATACCAGACCAGAAGAGCGAACGAAGGCAGCATTAAAATTCACTTTGAGTCTTCTAGTTGGGGGAGCCTTCCAATGCACAAAATATTTGAGTACTGGTGAGCTTGGGGATTAGACATTGCTGCTTGAAATTAACTTTGTGAAATTCCTCCCATTCATGGATTGCTTTCTTCAAATATCAATTTATTCCTGTAGATCCATAGATGCCAAGTCACATAAGCAAACAAACTCAACAAATCATCTTTGTAGTCGCATTGAATCCATTATTTCAACCAGTCCTAAAATCATGACCTCAAATAAACCGGAGTATTATAAGCCAAATCCCATCTAAGAGGACAATTTTTCCAAAATACAACAGATGATCAATGGTGTCCAACCCCAAGCCACACCGTTTACAAATAACATCAACATTAATTCATCTATTATTTAAATTCACTAAAGTTAGAAGTTTTGCATGAATACTGCTCCACAAACGGGTGGAGCCGGAAATTAATTTCAGGGTCACTGTGTAAAAAAAAAAAAACAATTCAATAATCACGACAATAAATATACATTCTATAAATCAAGAGACAAAGAAAAAAAACTACTCAAAATAATATGTCAATTAATAAATTTAAGAGAGATAAATAGTTAACAAAAAATTTAAAAGAAAAATGAGAAAATTTTGAAAGAGAAAAAAATTAAAGTTCGATTCAAAAAGAAAAATTTGACTTTTTTTAAAGGAAATTAAACAAATTTAAAGTGTAAAAAAGAAAAAAGAAAAATACAAAATTTAAGAGATAATTTTAGAAAATAAAATTTTTAGAGAAAGCATTATATGAAATTTTTTTTATATACATGTGAAAATATATAGATTTAGTATATTTATTATAATAAGCGATGTCAGGCAGGGGCACGTGCCCCCTAGACATATACCAGCTCCCCCCGTCCACAAACAGTGATTTTTTTTTTTTTTTTTTTTCCTTCTAATCTTCCACAAAGCTTTCCAAATATTGGATTCGAGTGCGGTATTGGATGGATTGTTCTAGTGCAAATTGTGATTTGCCTCAAGTTTTAAAGCTGGTTTGTGTATAGTCAGCTAACCCCAACTTGGTTAAAATACTAGAATTTTTTTCAATTACATCTATGAGTAGCGATTCGTATTTGTGTGTCATTATCGTGTGATGTTGATGTATTTTATTAAATACGTAAATTTAAACTTGATCTATTTAATAATCGTGTCAGAAACCTTCAATACTAACTCAACATATTTATTAAACAAGTAATGACCTGTTTATCAAAACGAGACTTTAATATTCAATTAAATAATAAATATTAGAAAAAAATTGTCACAATTAACTCAAATATTTAAAATAAAAAGAAAAATTATAAAATGTAGTCACGGTTTATGTTGAAATGATTTAATTGTCCAAAATAATTAGGTTTAAACATATAACATATTACGTATGTTATATTCACGATTATGACATGTTGACTTAAACGTACATAAACGAATTATGAGTGTTGAACTATTCAACCTTAATTGACACGGTTAAGTAAATGGGTTGACACAGGTTAAGTAAACGGGTTAACCGTGTCAAACCGTTTATCATCCAAATTCATTTAAGGTCAATCCAAACCCGCTTATCTCGAATCGTATTGGCAGATCGTGTCGTAATGTACCACCCCTAAACTTACATTATACAAAATTTTACAAACTTTTAATATAAGGGTACAATTGTCATGACAAAATTTACCGATTTGGCCTCCTCATGTAGACTTGTTAATGGATCGGATTCTGACCCGAATCCGATCCAAACCCAATTCGATTATTCGGATATGAATTGAACAAAAAATTCGATTACGATCCAAATTCGATAATTCGATTCCTTAACAAATCATTTGATAAAATTTATAATAATAATAATAATAATAATAATAATAATTTATATATTATGTATATAATATTCCTCGATATTAGATGTAACAAAAAAAAAAAAAAAAAAAGTAATCTTTGTTATCCTCTTTCGGGCTTGGAATATTCATAGCTCTGCAGCCAAACAGAGCCATTCCAATTTGTTGTGCTTCCGTTGTTGTTAATTGAGTTAGCAGGAGTTAGGGCAACTACGAACAGTCAAATTAAGTGGTGAATCGCTAGAGAGAGAGACAGAGAGAGGAGAAAGAGGCCAGAGATGGCAAATCAGGGGGCCAAGAAGCGGAAGGAAGAGAATAGTCGGCACATGAAGAACATCCTTCGCCTCATCATCGCCTGCAATGTATGGTCTCGCCATCTTATCATTTTTCCCATATGATTGTTCCATTTGCTTTGTGATTTAGTATAATTTATGATCAGACTTGTTTCTGCTCACAATTTTCTTCTGTTTTGTTGCTGAGAAGAAAGAGGCAAAACAGAATACCAAATGATGAATAATCATCTGCCTATCGTGCTTGCTTTCCGTTGACTTCATTGTTATATTAGTCATTCATCTAAAGTGAATTAAGAATCAAACTTTAATTTTTGTTTGTTTTCCTACATTTTGTCAGCAATCAAACGGAGCTCTTAGCGGCTGTACAGAAATATAACTAAAATTAAAACCAATCTCAAAATTTTATCACAGCATGGAAAGTTGTTCATATGTGAAGTTAAGACAGTATGATACCATTGGTCATTGTGTGTTTGTGTTTTTTCTTTACTTTTGATTTCCAGAAATTTAGGGCATGTTTGGTATGGGATTTGTTTTTGGTGTTTTTGTTTTTTTGTCGAATAAAACGTGTTTGGTAAAAAATGATTTGTTTTGTACAGTGGCAAAACATTTCTCTTTACTAAACGCAGCTTTGGTGTTTTTACATGTTTTTGCAATGTATCAACGGAACTGTAGTAATCAGCCGTATCCAAAAAAATGAAAAATCTCAATTGACCTTTTTAAACTATCCATTATATTTTTTAAACTTACAACACTTTTTTACAAAACATGTTTTTATGTTTTTGCTTTCAAAAATTTTGTAACAAATAGACATTACCAAACATATTTCCGATTACTATTCAAAACACCATACAACAAAACACTTGTTTTGTTTCGGGTTAAAATAAAAACCAAAAACAAAATGCGTACCAAACAGGCCCTTAGTAAACTTAGTTCAGCCCATTTGCCCTTCTGCTTTTAATTTACTCCGTATCTTATTTTCCTTTATTTTCTCAGCAATTGAAAGGAGCTCTAGTCCTTTTGTTCTCCTGGAATTAAACTGAAAATTAAATCATGGATGCAAACTTTGTGGAAACAAATTATAGTTATATGGCATTATTCTGAGCTTTATTTTCTTTGTAAAACTTTTGTTCACTACGCATCTTTAGTTTTCATTTTCTGTCTTTTTAATTTGTTAATTGTATGTATAAATCATCACCATAGATGATACTACTACAATTTTTGCCTTATCATTAAAATTATTTACTCAACAAATGCTGTGCAATTCAATTATATTCCGGAATCAAGGCAATATTTTTATGGTCTAAATTTCTGATTATATAGGTTATATATCTCTTGGTGAGGGCGGGGGTCTTCTATTCTACTTTCAAGTGGAAGCATTTAGTTGGCTTTATGTTGACTTCTTTCGCCTACATTATTCCCTATCAACAACTTGCCTTAATGGCGAAGCCTGCATATGCTGATGATGGGGAGCTTTTAGATGGCGGGTTTGATATGAGTACTGGCGGAGTTTGTGGGTATGTCTTTCTGATGTTATCACTGTTCTTCCACTTCTCATGTTTGGTTTGCCCCATTATAATATTTCCATTATAAATATATGAACCAACATCATATTGGTTAATTGTAATAATGTTTATTTTTTTGGAAGGAGCCATGAGTTAAGATAAAGGATTGAATTTTTTAGCCCATTTGATTTTAAAAGTTGGCTTGATCATCATTGGTGTGACGTTGTCTTGCGAGACTTTTTTGGGCATTTCCAGAATTTAGTGGGTAGGCAAGTTTCAGTTGCAAATTGTTGTAGGTATTAGTGAGTGGACTGTCGTGAGGTATCTGCCTCTGTACTCCTTTGCAGGAGTGGGAGCTTATTGAGTCTTTCTTTGGCATTTTATATTCTCAGACTATTCTGGTGGAGGAGGAGGACGTTATGAGGTGGATAACATTGAAGGGTAAGGTGCTTGGGGGAGGGAATCATCATGGTTTTCCTCAGAAGTCTATGTGGGAAAACAAAGTTACTCCCAAAGTAGCTTGCTTTGGCTAGACTACGGTGCCTGGGAAGATTCTGATTTCTGACTATTGATAACCAGTTGAAGCAGCAGTAATTTAAGTTCAGCTGAACTTTCTTATTTATTAGGCAATGTAGATGGCCCAAATATATACAGAGTAACAAGCATATAAAAGAAGTCTTTTTATCTTATGCCTTATTTACCCAAACTGCGGTTCAACTCTTGGGTAAACTTTGATCAAATTACCTAGAATTACTAGCTTAATGCTTGTATCTTGTATTGGATGATACGAATGGGGTCGGCCACATGCATTCTCTCTCTCCAGCTTTTCTATAACATACTAATTCACCTACTGTCTTTAACTTTTTTAAATCATTTTTAATGACCCCATCCCATGTTATTTTTGGCCGCCCTCTCTGTCTCTTACCTTCGACTACAATTAGTCTTTCTTGTTTGACCCGTGCATCATTAGGTCTTCGATGTTTATCTCCAAACCATCTAAGTCTACTCTGTCGAATTTTATCACCAATGGGTGCAACACCTAATTTTCCTCTCACACTTTAATTAGTGACCCTATCTCTTCTAGTCACTCTACCATCCATTTTAACATTCTCATTTCCACTACATGAAGGCGTTTAGAAGTTTTTCTTAAAAAAAAAAAAAATGCACTCATGTCGATGGTCTTTGAAATTGTGATTATTTGACGAGTTATAATAAATTTTCTGGCAGTTAACATTGTGGTTAATAATAATAATAAAAGAACCTAACACAGTTCATGTTTCATATCCTTCTGATTTAATTCTTGTTTGAGAAGGAAGGCTATTTCTGGGATTGGTTCTAAAAGATACATATATCTGGATATCTGGCCTTTTGTTTTCTATTTGTAAGCATGTTGGATTTTAGTTTTGCAGTCACACAGTCACACTCCCTCGCCTTTTGATTTGAAATGTAAAATTGGATGTCCTTTATGATTTTCCCTCAATGAAATGCTAAAATTTAATATTCGATATGAGTTATGAGATTTGTTTTACATACCAGGCTGACATATAGTGCTGCCTAGTGTATGCGTTTATCCTTTTACATACTAGGTAGGCATATAAGTTTGCACAGTGTGTACACTTATCCCCCTTTATCTTTCAGTCTTCTGTTACTTGTATAAATTGCAGTCCCGTCTTCTGTTACTTGTATAAATTGCAGTCTAGTCTTCTGTTACTTATACATATTATTTATTTTCATTTATGTACTAATTAAGTTTTATGTCATGTTCATTATGTCTTGCAGATATTTACATGATGTAATTTATATTACGAGCTTCGTACAACTCACGTCCATTATATCTGAGAAATTTTGGTACATATATTTAGTGGTAAGATCTATTTCCTAAACATATATGAATTACAGAATAAAAGAACCATTTAATATGTTATTATAATTGTTGCCAAGTAAATCAATGCATTGGTAGATTGACTATAAGATCATTTTTCTATATTTATATGATCTACTTAATAATGTGGCGTTGAAGCAGTTGGATAGCCTAAGAAATAAAAATATATTGACAATCTTATATCTCAACCAGTCATCCTATTCATTATTGTTGTTGTTCTTGATATTAGTAGAACCTATGAGAAAACATAGAAAAGATATGATGGCATGTTGGAGGTTATGACCTTATATAATGCGTGAAATGGTAAAAAAAAAAAAAAAAACAAATCATGTAGATGATCCAAATAGTTCGAAGAAGGCTTTGTTGAGTTGATTTGAGTTGCCTGCTTGGTTGTGTGTGATTGTGTCTATCTTTAGTTGTTACTACCTTTAAGGAGTTTTGAGAGAAATTTTCATTGGTAAAGATAAGTGATGTTGGGGAAAACTGAGCGAGTGAGCATGGAGAGGAGTTATACAATGAGGTAAAATACATGTGCATGATATGCATTCCTTCTAGTTATTGTTATTGTTATGTTGTTTTTGTTATTGTTATTTTTGTTATTGTTATTTATTTATTTTTTTTAATTGTTATAATAATAATATGGCAAGGCTTCTGTAGACTATATGTTATATCTTTTCAAACATGCGAGTTTGATTAGCTAGAAAAAAAAAAAAAAAAAAAAAAAAATTCATATGAGGTTTGATTGAGGAAATGTTTAAACAAGTTATTTTATCTCCAGATTGCTACTAGTTCCATTCTTTGTGGTTCTAATATTAAATTCTTAGTTCTCTAGAATTGTTCTTCAGGAGTTTCCTTTCCTTATTATTATTGTTATTGTTGTTGTGGTTGTGCGAAGTTAATAACCAATTATCATCAATTTCCTTATTATTATTGTTATTGTTATTATTATTATTATTATTATTATTGTTATTGTTGTTGTGGTTGTGTGAAGTTAATAACCAATTATCATCAATTGATAATTGGGTGTTCCAGGCCTGCTTGCATGACTTCTAATGTTTCCATTTATATCAACACTTCATTCTCTTACCAAATGGGCAATAGCCCAGCTGGTACAAACCCACCTCCCCAAAGGAGAGGTTGGGGGTTCGAGCCTCAGTGGAGGCATAGGTGTGTGAGTTTGCTTAACCTTCCAAAAAAAAAAAAAAAAAACACTAGAAGTTCATTCTTTTCATCGAAATGCTCTCTTTCATGTGATATTCTTGCTCAATTCTGACATGAAGTATATGTTATACACACACACACACACACACACACACACACACATATATTATGTTTTTTGATAGTTTTGTTATATAATTTACCAAGCAGATTTTTGACCAGACATTTATTTCGGCCTCTTTTACCTCGTGTCATCATCGTCGACATTTGGATCATGTGACCTGTCATATGTGATATGGCTATTCAGATTGAAGTTTTATCATATTCTCAAAACTTTTAAATCACTAGTATGACATTTTGAATAATGATGGGGTATGTGTTTGGAAAATCAATCTTTTTAGGCACTCAAAATTTAGCGTGCATGAATCCTGTTTGCCGGTTGGGGAGAAAAGGGGGAAAGACAGTTGTTTTGGTGGGTAGGTTGGGGGAGGAGAGCAAAATAGCAAAACTGATAGTCTAGTGCTTAGTACAATTGGGAGATAGAAGATCTGTTAGATTCTCGTGGATGATGGTAATTAGCTCAAGGCTTAGGAGGCAGCACCAAGTGGGTGATTCAATTACCCGACCTTAGAAATAAAAATCACCTTGTATCCAAGGTTTGTAGAGTTTCAGAAATCTGTCAACTATTTTGGGCGCAGGTTATGACCTCGAGGCTCAAGAAGAGATTGGTTGGCATATGATTAACAGTTAAGAAGGTACAGTGGGATGGGTATTTGCTATGACCCCAAATTGTGATGGTCTTGAGTACATCCTGCAGAGTGATGGGAGGATGGCTTCAGCCAATTGATAGAGGAATTGATTTGGGCTTGGGTTCAAAGAGATTAATGCTGTTTATTAATAATTATAACTTGACTTTTGGTGTAGATGCACAATTCATCTGCATTAATTTTTTAAAAGGGTGCAGAATTTAATTTTGATTTCTCCGACTTATTTTGATGTAAACTTCGTATATGGTTGGAAGGCACAAATTTGTAACTGTTGAAATATATAAATATTTCTATATAACTGTGGAACAAAATCCTCCACCAATCATGGTGCCTCCTTTGACTATTGTACGCCTTCCATATATTTTCTTATCTTTAGCATGCCTATACATAGACTCCTTGTACTCAAGCAATATACAAATCTGAATAATAAAAATGTAGCCCTTAGTGGCTCTTTGTCCATAGATGTAGGCATTAGTGTCGAACCATTTATATTCCAGTGTTTTATCCAAATTTTAACATGGTATCAGAGCCAAGTTGTTCTTGTAATCGCATATAGAATTTGAGGGGAAGTATTGGAATTATTATCATGGAGCATATTCTCTATGTCTTCACATTCCTTTCCCGGCGTTGTTTCGGCCATTTCCTGACGTTGTTCCAGCTTTTCCAGGCGTCGTTCCTGCCATTTGCCCGCATTGGTCCGGCCATTTCAGGCGTTGTTCCAGCTTTTCCCGGGGTTGTTCCAGCTTTTTCCCGGCATTGTTCCGGCCTTTTCCCAGCCTAATTCCGGCCTTTCCCAGCGTTGTTCCGGCTTTGTTCTGGACACCTTTTCATCATCTTTTAAAGCGTTTCTTTAGCAAGTTGGGCATTCGTGATATTCATGCTTCAACTTGAGGGGAAGTGTTGAAATATATAAATATTTCTATATAATTGTAGAGCAAAATCCTCCACCAATCATGGTGCCTCTTTTGACTATTGTACACCTTCCATATATATCCGTATCCTTACCATGCCTATATATAAGCTTCTTGTACTCGAGCAATATACAGATTTGAATAATAAAAATGTATCCCCTTAGTGACTCTTTGTCCATGAATGTAGGCCTTAGTGCCGAACCATGTATATGCCAGTGTTTTCTCTCTTCCCTTTTCCTATTTGCATTTCTTATTTCCGCATCTGAATTTTAACAGTAACAAACCATTGTAGACGGTTTATCTGATAACATACTCGATTTGCTCATTAGGAATTGTTACATTGTGGCAATGATTATCTGACCAAATTAAAGTTTGACAAAGAGGCTCCCTTTAAGGCTTTAAATTGTGGTTTTCACCCAAATTTCATTTTACAATTGATGATTGCTAGGAAAGTTGGATCTGTACCATGTTTTACACCAAGATTTGCAATTTCACATGGTCCATTGGTGAAATTGCAGTGTCATGGAACCAATATATTATAGAAAAATGTCGTGCCAAAAAGACCTTAATTGAATTGTTTTTATCCTTTTGCTATCCAGATACCAGGATTTGCAGCATACAAACTCTTTGGTGTCATTAAAGGATTTTTGCCGCAAGGTTCAGAGGTACCCACCTTACAAGATTTCTGTTCTTAGTAAGTAATATAAAGTGGTAATATAGACTTGTATGATAAACCATTTTAACTTGTTTGTGAAAAATGTTTCACAGGGAGCTGAAGAGGATGATAAGACTCGTAAGAAGAGAGAGAAGATGGAGAAGAGGGCTTCAAGAACCAAATTTGTAAAGACAAGAAATAGATAATCCACTTTCTAGGTGATTAGTAATGTCTTGAATTGCGATTATGATGGTCTTTTGTTGCGAATACAAGACCTTCGCTAAGTTTTTCTGAAACTGAAAGAGCTAGTTTACTGCTTCCTAATTGATATTATTATTGTGATGTGCATTATACTAATTAAAAATGAATGATATAGGTTCTTCTTACCTCAGGGAGCGAGCTAGTTTACTGCTTCCTAATTGATATTATTCCTGTGATGTGCATTGTACTAATTAAAAATGAATGATATAGGTTCTTCTTACATTGGGGAGTCTATATTATATATATACGGGCAACAATCTTGTGGCAAAATCAGGTGATTACAAATTCTTCAAACAAAATGACCATCCAAATATAGTAAAGATCAATGTAGCTAAAAATCCGAGTACAAGTGCTTCTATTCTGCTGGGGTGTCTTCATGGCCTTAAGGCCACTTATATTGTAGATGCATTATCCTTGTGAAGGTCGTCATGTACTTATCAACTGAATTTGCCCAGCTTGTAAACTCTATATTGATGGGATGATGGCATATTTATTTTACCCCCCACTTCGTCTTGTTTAACTGCTACTCCGCAAATCTCCCCCTTCGTCTTGTTTAACTGCTACTCCGCAAATCTCCCCCTCTTAATGGTTCTTTCGTTTCTCATTTGATGGGGTGTTGTGAAGGTCATGTACGTAGCAAGAGTGTTTGATGGAGTATGTCGATAATTGATTCATAATTACAAATATTTGATTTTTTTTTTTTTTTACTAAAAAGTAAAAACAGGTCATATTATTGGGCTATCTGATGCGAGGGTGTCTCATCCTGCGTCCTTGGTGGCAATATGAGAGCACCAACAATAATTTTTTATTTTTATTTTTTCAGAAAAAGGAATTAGAATGTTTTTTTAAATTGAAAAAGAAAAAGATAGTATTCTGATTCCTGAACAGGTAGAGAGAGAGAAGGCCAAAAAAAAAAAAAAAGAGAATATATTTTTAAATTGAAAAAAAGCTACCAACGTATTCTGAACACAGAGAGAGAAAGAGAGAGATGTGCCTGCAAAAGCAGCATCAAATTGAAAGTGACCCTTAAAACAGCCGAGACTATCCACCCCCACCCACCCCCACTACGCTTTCACAAACATCGCACTGGCAGCCAAACATACCGTAGTGTTTTGCCAACTTTCAGTCAATAACCGTAAAAGCCCTTTTTGCTTTCTCTTTCACTCACCCCTCTCATGCTTTTGGGCAGAGCATCTGATGATGTTCTCACACCCCCCTACAATACGCCACCATGCGCAATGCGCTCTCTCCAATATCAAAAACATCTTCTTGAGGAATCATCCCTCCCTCCCAAATCCAATTTCCATGGAATCACCTATCCAAACAAAAATAGTACCATTCCTAGAGATAAAAATAAATAAAATGACATTCCCTCCAATCCCATTCAACCAAAAATCAAGGATAATGTTAATGACATAATGACTGAAGATGCTAAAGACCAAAGTATTTGGCTTTAGAAAAGGATATATACATAATACATTACAAAACCAAACTACCAAGAAAAACAAAACAAAAAAAATTACAAAGATGAGAAAGATAGGGTTAAACATATTATTCTTTTTCCCCTTATAACTAAGTTAACTTTGGCTTTTAATAAAGAAATAAAAAAGAATTCACTTCTCTACACTTTTTTCTTTTGTCTACTTTTTCTACCTTGGACCAGAGAGTTCCATGGCATAGGCATCATGGTCATCATCCATACTCAAACTCATGCCAAACATGCTTGAATGATCATAATGATTGTCATCATGTCTAGGGTGGGTGGTAAGGCGTGACTGCATCTGGTTTTTGGAGACAAGGGCAAAGTTTGCGTTGGGATTTATATGGTTATGGGAGGCTGCCCATTTCTCGGCAAGGCCATCCCCTTCGAGCATTCGCACCACTTCAGACATCTTGGGGCGGTGGGCTGGCAGGTATTGAGTGCAATGTAGAGCTACTTGCAGCATCTCTCCAACTTCAATCCGGTCATAGTTGCTCCCTAGCTCTCTGTCCACTAATACTTCCACTTTCTTCTCTTGTTGCACTTTCTTCACCTGCACCAAATAACCACACCATGTTAGTCTTCTTAGTTTGTGAATGCAATGTCATGTTAATTATAATGGTATTTATGGAAATTAGACAAAGCTAGTTTCAGTTCCTCAACCTAAATCTGAGAGATTGGTTCTCATGGACTTCGATGATATTACAACACTTAAATATCTATTGCCTCATTACAATAATTCCTCAATGTTGATATTTAAAAATCAAGGAAGCAATTCCAATCGATTGATGTTTTCCATATTTAGTTCCATGTTATGGTAATATGAAACATAAATCTTTGGGTGTCATGATATGTCAAACTCTGGTGAACTATTTAAACAATTACTGAGAAATACGTTAAACAAATTTAGAAATATTAGGTTATTTAAGCCGTTTAGAACAGAATATCTACGAAAAGGCGCTAACAAGATGCCAGCTAGATGAGAAATGCTAAGATATGTTGCAATTTTCTGATAAAAACATTCTAATTTCTATGGACAATCAAAAGCGGGATAGAACACAAAAGAAGAAACTGAAGTGAGATAACAAGGCAACAATATATATGACCGGATGGTCAAAAATTATCTAACCAAACTATACTGATATCTAGTAGGTCTTTCATTTGGATCTATAATTGGGTTTGAACTAGAATATGGAAGTCTCATAAGACTGTAGAAGGTGCCCTTGCTGCTTTCACTCACCAGGCTCAAGCATATCCATCACTAAACTACAGGTGGAACTTTAGAGTATTATAATTTTTTTTTTCCTAGTTGGTACTCACTCACACTTGTCTTTTCTGAGACTTGAACCCCTGACCTCCCTTTGGGAATTAAGAGGCTGATACTGCTAGGCCACTACCAGTTGGTTAAAGTATTATAGTTGTGGAAGAAACTTACCCATTCAAGCATGGCACCTTTCTGATTAACCGTTTTGCCAAATTCAAGAGCTTTCATTCCAGTTATGAGCTCTATTAAAAGAATACCAAATCCAAACACATCAGTTTTCTCAGAGGACTGGCCGGTGGAGAGGTACTCTGGTGCAATGTGGCCAACAGTACCACGGACAGCCGTGGTAACATGAGAGTCAGCATGGTCAAGGAGCTTGGCAAGCCCAAAGTCACCAACAATGGCCTCACAGTAGTCATCCAGGAGAACATTAGCTGCCTTCACATCCCTATGGATTATTTTTGGATCGCATTGCTCGTGGAGATATAAAAGACCCCTTGCAGCTCCTATTGCAATTCTCTTTCTAGTGTTCCAGTCTAGTGCTGGTTTTCCTGTTACATTCAATAGAAGACATTGGGGTTTTAAAATGCATGGTGTAAGTTTCTGGATACTTGTTAGTAAGAGCCTTGTCAAAAAAATAATTGATAGTATGAAATCATCCCATAAACTTTTTCCTTCTCATTTGTGTGTGTGTCATGAACAGTAGAAAATTCCCAGAAGAAGAGTGTTCTAAACTTTTGCTTGCAACATCAAAATTTTTTACTTCCCATAAGGGAAAAAAGAAGAATCAATAACTTTGTTTATTTTTAATGAATGAATGTTCAATGTGGTTCAAACACTAACCAAGTCTTTAAATGCATAATTGGAGAACCCCAAGGGAAAGTCACTTGTGTTATGATCGGAATTAGCAGACATAGCTATTCTTATTAAATGGAGCCTCCATAGAAAACTAGATTATCATTAGAACAACAAACAAAGTCTTTTTCAAATTACTGGAAATCAGCTACATCAATTTTATTTTTCATTCTGTCCATGCTAAATTTGGCCTTCTCCTTACCCTATCATTATCCTCAATGTAGACCATGTCACTCTATATACAGGTACACTTCGTGGTCTTCTTTGCACGTGACATGTTCAAACCATCTTAATCAATTTTCTCTAATTTTATTTCTAATGTATGCTACTTCTTTTCAGGCATATCTCTCTCATCTCCATAACATGCAATGGAACCACCCAATTAATGAGGGCCGCCAAGCATTTCAGTCCCCTGTTATGCATTATAGCAAATTGTTCCAAATTTTGTTGAAATTCTAGGCAGCTTAGATGTTATTTACCCTTTTATGCTCGTTTTAACTAATTATTATATACAACTTTTGGGATTTTGGAATGTTGAATCCGGGATTTTTGAAAGTTGAATCATGATTCAACCATAGATTTACAAGTCTTGGGGACAAAAAAATTGAAGTAGTTAAGCATACGAATTCCCCTCTCTATTATATGTCAAAAGCATAGGACCAGAAAATTGTAAGAATCATCATGCCCACACAATGTGATTGTGGGTGGTGACAATGGTAGTGACCATATGGTGAAAGTAGTTGCAGGCAAGTGAGATTGGTACTAACCTCTCAGCCTTGAGGCCACACTGCCATTAGACATGTACGGGTACACAAGAAGCCTCTCACTCGGGGTGGCACAGTATCCGACTAACCGGAGCAAATTACGGTGAACAGCAAGGCTGATCATCTCTAATTCTGTCCGAAACTGTGATTCCCCAGCAGTTCCCATCACATCCTTTAACCTTTTCACTGCCACCGTTGTGCCATCTCCCAACTTCCCTCTGTACACATTTCCAAACCCCCCAGCACCAAGTATGTTCTTGGAACTAAAATTGTCAGTTGCAGCTTGGAGTTCTTTAAATGTGAAGTTTCTGAGGTTGCCTAGGCTCATTATACCCTCTTCCTGAATATCTGCAACAAAAATTCCACGTCCCATTAAGGTTTTTAGTTTTTACCATATATGTAGACACATGAAGTTTTGAGTTACAGTTACTGACCATTGATGTTTAGGATGCTTTGCCTTTTCTTTTTGTTTCTTCGCCAAAAATGGAACCCAAGTGCTAAGAGGGATAGAGAGACAAAGCCGAGGCTGACCCCAAGCGCAATAGCTATTTTCTTGGAGTTGGATTTTCCTGGAAAATGGTAGAAGCAGAGTCTAGAGAGAGAAATCGGTTTACAGAGCAAGAGATGGGGATGGGTTTTGAGAGATACCAGTAGATGAATCTAGAGCGAAAGAAAGAGGAACAGGGGTGCCTGATCCAAAGCAACCTTCAGTGGCATGGTTCCCACAAATCAGAGGGTTACCCACAACACTATATTGACATGGAGAGAGAAGCATAATCAGATAAAATGAAACAATACATGCAAGATACACATACAAAGAGAGAGGTTTGAATAGAAGCAATACTTAAATGTTCTGGCAGGAAATTTGGGCACAGGTCCACTAAGATTGTTAAAAGACAAGTCCCTGAGTGACCAAAAGAGTGTTCACAAGCAAAACCAATTACTAACATTTGAACTTACACATACATGAATTTGAAAAGGCCATTCAGAAAAATTGCAGAATGTTTCGATTTTCAAGACACAAGGATAACACAAACAAAATCTAGAGAGAGAATCATACTCACAAGAAAGCAAGTCGAGGGACTTTAGCTAAAGACACAGGAATAGCTCCAGATAGGCTATTGTTGTTCAATCTCCTACTCATTACATGACAAAACCAACAACAGTCAATAAAGATGATAATAGCGCAAACAGTAGTAGTCATTAACAGATAAAGAAAACCACCCATGAGAAAACACTTTTTTAGAAAGAGAAAGTACTCACAGATATTGTAGACCATTCAACAGACCCAAAGACTCCGGCACGTGACCGTAGAACCGGTTATTGGACAGATCCAATGTCTGAAGGTTCGGAAGTGAACCCAGCTCCGGTGGGATTTTACCGGAGATGTTGTTGTTCTGCAACAATCTGCAAAATAAACACAAACCCACATAATAAAATGGACAATCGGAGTTGGAGAGAGAAAGTAGAGAGAGAAACACAAATTATTATGCAACAAAAATGCTAATTAGTAAAAAAAAAAAAAGAAGAAGCTTTAAACATACGCTAAAATATCAATAAATATATGGATGTATATATATGATACATATGCTCTGTTTTCTTACATTTGTCGAAGATTTGTTAGGTTTGCAATCATCCCAGACAGAGTTCCTGATAAGCCTTGGCTTGGAGCTCCTCTGTAAAACCCAGAACTCAACATATAGTATTAACTGTGAAATTGAACTTTTTAACTTTTGAAAAATCAAAGATAAACAAACATATGCATATATAAATACTGAAGAAAATACTGACAAGCCAATGACGAGATTATCAGGAGAGCAAGTGATCATAGCCCAACTACATGGGTCTACAGAGTCCTCATCCCAGTTGTTCAGAACTCCGTGAGGGTCGTTTAAAGCACTCCTAATAGTAATCAAAGCTTGAACTAAAATATTAACACAAAAATCATAGATTAAACACCAAAAAATCATTGTAAAGAGGGGATAAATAAAGGGTTGTTGATGAAATAGGTACCTTCGTGGTTGCTAGGTTCATACGAGAGAGAAACAGTTGCAGAATAGAGAACCAGGTACAGAACAAAGAGGTGGAGATGGAGGGACATGATCATTGAATGCAAGTGAATAACATGCTTCACAAACTCCATGAATACATGTTAACCTGGCAACTCTCTCTCTATCTATCTTTCCTTTTTGTTTCTCTCTCTATCTCTACTTTTCTGGGTATTCTACAGACTTTTTTTCAGTCACCATCTTTTCCGCAGAAGAAAAAATAAATAAAAAAATATAGAAAAAGAAGAGGGGAATCAGGTAGGATGATACGAGTTGTCAGTGAGGGTGGAAGCGCAGAAATTGAGAGTGACAAGTGGATATGATATGATGCGCACTCTCTCTCTCTCTCTCAATTAAAATGCGCCTCTGTGTCTCTGTCCCTCTCTCTCACACACACAGACACACAGATTGCTTGTTCTAACCACAACACAGGGAAAGTGAAGCCCAACAAGAAAGGCAAAAAAGTTTTGGTATTTGAGTTTTGATGTGAGAGGCAAAAACAGTGTGTTGAGCGCTGTGTATTTTGTTCCTTTTGGTAGTCTAAGATAAGACCACACAGGTCCTTGTGGCATCCCCTAATTATTATTCCTATTTGCGTGTGTGTGTGTGTGTTTTTTTGTTTTGTGGAGACATTTTTTTTTTTTTTTTTTTTTTTTTTTTTAACATGGTTTTGTGGATATTCTCTTCCTTTCAATTAATTTGAGGATACAACATTCATTATAAAATGTAACACATTTATTTGAGAATAAATCTCTTCTAATTTGAAACAACAAAGTGTTGCATTCCGGAAGTATGGCACTATAAAAAAATAATACTAACAATACCAGAGCCTAGAAGTAGCCATTTTGCTTGCTTTTCTTGGGTCACAATTCCGGGTTTGATAACTTTTTTTTTTCTTTTGGTTTTTTTTTTTTTTTTTTTCAAATATAGGATTTGAAATGTGACTTTTCTCGATTTCAAATTATTATTAGTCATTCTTTATTGTCATTATGTGTGCGTATATATATATGTGCCTATCCCGTCATATTATGTATAGTGGCCTAACATTTTATGATATTTTGCTGGTCCAAAAATTATTGAAGAATGAATTGGGTTGGGATTTTTGCTTTATTTTCTTTTTTTTATTCTCTAATCATGAAAAGTTTTAAGATTCAAAATTTCACATTTTTTGTTCTTACATTGTCACCAGCTAGTTAGAGCATTAATATACACTTGGTTGAGTCATAGAAAAACAGATAATTACAATTTAGTTATCTTTTGGAGAATGACACCTCCAAATCAAGTTAAAGGTATCTTATTACCCTTTAACTTATAAATTTATTATTTAAAATTTTGAATTATAAATTTATCATGTATAATTAATTTAGATTATAAATTTATCATTTTAACCATTTTAATTTTGTTCATTAACATACTTATAAACAAATGAATTTACCGTTAGCCAGAGCATTTTTGGTTTTTACATTGTCACAAGCTAGTTGAAGCATTAATATACACGTCGTTAAAGTCAAAAAAGAAAAATCTAAGTTGATATAAATTGCACTCACAACCCTTCAAGTTTACAAATGAATTTATGATTTGTAATTAATTTGAATTGTGAATTTATCATTTTAATCATTTTAGTTATGTCCATTAAAATGCTTATGGAATAAGTTACATCCTACAATTTACACTATATCAAATTAATTGCATATTATAGTTTACCAACAGAAAACACCATGTCCGCAAAATGAACAAGTTATATTACTCTTCAAAGAAGAATAAACAATTACATTGGTTATGTGCAAAATTTATTAATTGATAACCTCTAATTAATAAAAATTTTGGCATTAAGAAGTGATAGAGAAGATAATATCATCATCATTTTGGCATAACTTTCAATCCACATCTGTTAATAGTAGAAATCAAATCCGTAACAAACCCAAGAACCATATAAAAAATAAACAATGAATATTTTCGCGAATAGGTGGTAATACTTGAAGTAGTATAATGTATTACTATTTATAATAAGAGTAGTGATATTTGCACTGATTTGTTGTAGTGAATTACCTAATAAAATGTTTCTGATTGGTTATTTATACACAATACAATTAAGTGAAGGGATTCATTCCCTTATTTGTTGTATAGATGACCAATTAAAATAAGTAGTCGGTGCAAATATCATTTTTTTATATATATAATAATACTATAAGTTTCTATGAGTTTATTGCCACTAAAAGAAAAAAAAACACTATCTACAATCATGTGGTCCAAAGTCTTTAGTTATTACCTTTCAATACAAAAACAAAAATTCTTTAGTTTATTATGGGTAGTTTAGGACTTATGAGAGTTTATAAGAAAATAAAGATCACATAATCCTGAATAATCAAAAGAATATATGTTTCCCCAAAGTCTATGATCATAATTAAATAAAGTTGCGGTGTGAAGGCTAATTTTGTCTATTAAAATGCTTTGAGAAGGTTGAAATAGTAAATTCATAATTCAAATAAGTTAATTCATTAGTTAAAGGGTAATAAGGTACTTTTACCTTAATTTGAGGTGTTGTTGTTTAATTTATCAAATTTGGGAGTGTCATTATCCAAATAGTGCCTAAATTGTAGTTACCCATCTTTAATCCAAACCTATGGGGTGTGAGTGCAATTTACCCTTATTTCAAAGAAGATTCATTGGACTAAAACTTTAAAAAAATTTCAATGTTTAGGCAATCTACACCAGCCTCTCTGAATTTTAGCTCTTTAAAAATGTCACATCAGCTTTTCCAAGAGTCACATCAGCAATTCCAAGAGCCACGCCAGCAGTTTTTGCTCTTAAAAAACATGCACTTCATCAGGCTCTTTGAATTTTTGCTATAAAATAATAATAATAATAATAATAAATTAAAATTAATTTTTTTTAAAATTTTTCCTAAACGGCTATATTTTTAACGGCTATATTTTTCATCTTAGATAATGAATACTCATTTGCTCATCTGAAAATCATCATTACATTCATCTCTCTCCATTGTAGCAAAATATCACCATCCATCTTTTTCAATTTTGAAATTCCAATAATTTCGTTATCACAAGCTTTTCCTTTGGCAGACTTTAATATTTCATCTTCCTCGTCATCCTCTTCGGAAGATGATCCTTTTGGGGCGTTGATTCAATAGGATCAAGATGAATTCTATGAAATTATGAATTCAGTGAGGCCAGAGATAGTTGAGCAAGTATTTCAAGTCCGTAAAAAGAAGTGATACATTCATCGTGACTGAGAAGCAAGCCACTATCAGCTAATGAAAGATTAGTTCGACAAGAATTGCACATATCTACCGGAATACTTTCACAGGCGATTTAGGATGCGATGAGAACTTTTTTTTTTTGTATCCTTAATGATGTCAAAGCTTATGATAACTACTTTGTCCAAAAAAAGGATGCGACTAGTCGTCTCGGGTTGTCTTCTATACAGAAGATGACAACTGTTGTTCGTATACTCGCATATAGCTATACAACCGATCACTATGATGAGTATATTAAAATCGGCGAGAGTACTGCCATTAAATGCTTGGTATTTTGTAATGTTATTGTTGCTGTGTATGCAAAGGAGTATATGCACCCACCCAACGAAGCCGACATAGCACGGTTGCTTGAAGAAGAGGAGCAGAGAGGATTTCCGAGTATGCTTGGTTTTATCGACTGTATGCACTGGGAGTGGAAGAATTGTCCAGTGGAGTGGCACGACACATATAGGGGACGATGGGACAAGAATACTTTCATATTGGAAGCAGTTGTCTCACCAGATTTGTGGATCTGGCATGAATTCTTTGGAATGCTGGGTTCACACAATGATATAAATGTGTTAGATCATTCCCCGGTATTCAACGGTATCGTTAATGGCCAATTACCTCCGGTTAATTATGTAGTGAATGGACATCACTATAAAATGGGATATTACCTATCTGATGGTATATACCCTAAGTGGGCAATTTTGATGCAGACCATCCCGCAGCCAACCACTGTAAAAGAAAAATTGTTTGCTTAGCGACAAGAGGCATACAGGAAAGATGTGGAACGAGCTTTTGGTGTATTGCAGATCAAGTGGGCAATAATGCAAGGACCGGTGTATTACTCGGAGAAAGATGACTTGCACCTCATAATGAAAACGTGCATCATCCTTCACAATATGATCATTGAAGATGAGCGTCACGCAAATGTTAAAAGATGGACTCCGCCACCGGAGGATGCAATATTGATTCCCACTTTAAGTCGATGCCCACGGTTTTAGCGGCACACATATCCTCTCGCCAACTTTAGATTCGCAACAAAAAGACAAATACGTGGTTGAGGAATGATTTGATGGAAAATTTGTGGAATCGCTATGCTGATGAAGATATTTAATTTATGTTACATTTTGTTTGCTTTTAAGATGTTATGATATTTCGTGTATTAGAATTTTTATTATGTAATGATTTTTTTTAATATTAAAAATAATGAATTGAAATAAGAAAATAAGTATTACAAAATCCTATGGGAATAAGTAGATGAATTTGTAATTTTAATTATTTTTTTTACAGCCGTTAAGGCACTATTTGTGTTAGCCAAACAGTGCTTTAATGGCCAAATACATTATTTGTGGTACACATTTAAAATTTAAAGTAAAATAATTAAAAAAAAAAAAAAAACAAATTTTAAGGGGGAAAAAAAAAAAAAGAAGCTTTATTTATTTCTTTTCGACCCAAATAAAATTTATTTTTGACAAACAGTGCCTAAACAATATATTTTTTATTTAATAAATTTTATTTTATTTTTTATTTAAAAAAAAAAGCTCAAAATAACCTATTTTTAGGTTTTTTTAAAAAAAAAAAAAAATCTGTCAGGCACTGTTTGGCGCACTATTCCAGGAGTAGGAGAAAAAAAAACAAAACAGGTTTGATGTAAACGGTGCTGTTTTGACGCAAAAATAACAAAAAAAATATATATTCCAACGATCGCGGGCTGGCCCGCGAGCAAAATTGGGCCCCACCAATTTGGCTATACTTCTGCACACCCAAAGGCCATTCACACTCGCAGAAAATGGGCTTTGGCTATACCGCTGCACTTGCTCTTAATCACTTACATGCTCATTTACATATTTAAACCCTCAACTTTTTAATTCAGAGAAATAAATGAGATACAACTCAATTATTGTGACGTTTCATGAAAACACGTCGTCTAGTATTTATATGTATGATTGTTTCCTAACTTTGTAGTTGTAGTTTAAAAATTATAAACATAAAACGTGTACAAAGTAGATAATATTTATATATATATCTATTGTGATTGATCCTTCTTTAACTCACAAAACTACAGAGCAACTATAACAATTAAAGATTAAGTTCAAGCTTGACAATATGAACATAATTTATTGCAATTTAGCTAGATTTTATACCACACCATATCCTAATTTTTTTATTTGGACGATGAATGAAAATTAGTAATACACCGATCAAGTAGTTCCAACCAAACACAAATCCAAAATAAGGAAGAGAAATAACTTTCTAAGCATTCAAATTAAGTGCATGTCAACAAAAGATTAAGATTTACAAAACTTCTCAATTTGAATCGGAATCATTTAATTAATTATTAATTTTTACTGGTGCATTCAGTGGATAGCAGTTAATTTTTATTTTTTATAATTAACGTGGCACAGTAATTTTTACTGGCACTGGATGCACCACCAAAAAATTAGTGACACCGGAAAGATTCCTAGTCCTCTCAAATCCAAACTTAAGACTCTATAAACAGTAATATATATATATATATATATATATATATATATATATGTATGTCAAAGTTGTGATTCAAATTCTGAGTAAAAATTTTATTATGGATAAGTGGAACAGGTTGCGCTTGTGCAAAATTGAGAAATTGGTGTGAAGGCTCTATAAATAGATACTATTAATGTAGAGAGAATAGAGAGAAATAATTATAAAGAGAAACAATGTTACTTACTTTTATGTATTATTAGCTTGGAAAAGCCTAGTGCATTAGAGATGGTTGGGAATAGTGGGGGCCGCGGAAATATTTTTATCTACAAAAATACATATAATTTTTATTAAAATCTTAAAAATGATGCTACTCATGTTTTTTTTGATAATATTCCCCGTTGTATATTTTCGTGCTACCACACACATGCAATTTTCACTAGTTGAGGGCCTGAGGCACTAGTTCCTCAATTTGATGCATGATCATTGAGATGTGAAATAATGCATGCCGATAATCATCACCATGGAGTTGATATGACATTCACTGGTTCATAAATAAATTATAGGTGCATTTCTTGAATGATAAAGATTTGCTGCCTTTGTAAAGTAGGAAATTTAATAGTAAAAAAAAGAATAAAGCAATGATTAAACAACCAAATTACCAATAAACTAATAAGACATCAAATGACATTTTATAACAAGGCCATAATGTGAATGTGAATATTCTGAGGAATAATATCATCATCATCTATGTTCCAGCTTTGTCCAGAAAAGTTCCGAAACACATTTAATATCATCCATCTTTGTATCGTCTATTGTATAAAATACTTGTTTCATGATTTTGCAAGGGTCTTTAATTGGTGCAGTGCAGGAAAGTGTGTTCTCAATTCTAATTAAACTTGATCACCGGTCTTTAAACTTTTAATCTAAGATTAATGTTGTACCAATAGAATTTATACACTATAAGATAGCTCATAAAAATTGATGTAAGCCACTTGTAATTTTATAAATCCATTCACTTGAAAGCAAAACTATCCTATAACCTTTCCATTTCCTCCACTACCCATTGGCTTGAATTAAAACTAAACAATTACTCCTATGTAAATGCATGCATTAAACACACACATACACACACACATGCAACTTTGTAGGGCCCATTTTTCATAAAAAGAAAAGAAAAGAAAAGAAACGTGGGAGTAGAGAGACACGAGTGAGGCTTGTTCACATTCTATACTATTAAAATCCATTGCTTTTACGGATATGTTTGTGGAAGTGTGGAATGGTTATAATAATAAGTGTAATTATATACTATGTATATTAATGTTTATGAATACGAGTAATAATGTATGTATGGTATATTGGGAATAGGAGGCAAAGCCCCAATCTTTGTTGGATTGCGTTCATTCTTCCAAGCGATGGGAATTGATTCTTCCACGTTGGTAGTTTGTTCTTTCCAAGTGTAAAAAGCCAAATGGGATGATGGTTTTGGTTTAAAGCAAAAGGGTCTCACCCGTGCCTTCACATTTTCAGCCCCCACCATCCTTTGGGTATACCTTATATCTTTTCACTCGTATCCAAATTTCCATCTTCTGCAGTTTAAAGCCATCACTATTGTGGGTCCATCTTTGTAATCCACAAAACCTTTTTTTTTCGGAAGGTATAATCCACAAAACTTTCTTCGAATGAAAAAGGGACTCAAATTCTTTTTCGGAAAATGACATGGGTGTTTCTTGAAAAAAAAATAATAATAATAAAAAAAATAAGAGAATGTTGCTACTTGAGCAATTGCATTTGAGTTTATTCTGCTAGAAAATATTTAAAATAAGAGAATCTGCACACAGGCTTTAGCATTTCCTATTTACACTAGACTAAGCATTATAAACAATGCAGCCTTGAGGATCAACGCAACAAACTATTAAATTTGACAGGAATTTCTATGACATGGTCAGTGGGTTGATCCACACTTACAACATGGTAGTCTCAAAATAGACAACACACACACACACACACACACATGTATTTAATGATTCATATAGAGCTTTACAAACTGCACAAGAATAACAACGATGAAAACAAATTTCAATACTACCAATATGATTCTTCTGTGGTTTTTCATTGGGATTACAGATATTACATACACTTCTACAGGTTGTCAATACAAAATTAGGAGTCCAAATAAAAAAATTAAAGCAACATTGAACAATAGGTTGGGACCACGTTTGTTTCCTTCAGATTCATGTGGCAAAAGTACAAAGAAAGGCCGTTAAGGACTTCAATACTTCACAAATCCAGCACTATGAGATTTCCCCAAAACCGACTCTATGCTGCCTTCGTATAGATTCAGATTTTTTGCCAAAGCAAAACCAGCGTACATTCCATCAACAGCTGCACTTACAATCCCACCAGCATAACCAGCTCCTTCTCCAATTGGGTAGAGCCCTTTTAAACACGTGCTCTCGTAAGTGTCAATGCTGCGGGGAATCTGGACTGGAGAACTGGTTCTTGTCTATAGCCATAAAAAAAATTGGATTGTCTTTACGGACAATTTGACATAAATGTTGTTTTATACTTGATACATTATATTGCCCCGAAAAAAAAAAAAAAATTAACTGCAACAACTGAAACAGCATTACCTCTACTCCGTGTAGAAGCGCATTGTTGGAGAGAAATCCTGGTAACTGAAAGCCCCCAAGTCGAAGGAAAAAATGTTTAACAATGTAAAATCATGCATTTTTCATAATACATATAAACAAAGAATGTTGCAAGAACAAAGAAAAACGAGAAAAACATAAATACCTCTTTGTCGAACATTAAAATTGAATGCTGCAGAGCCTCTGTTATATGAATGGGAAACAACTCATGGAGATTTGTTGCCTTCACTCCTAACCGATAGCTTGATGGTGGTACAGATGTTACTGGAAAATAAGGCAAGTAAAAAACTTCAAACAGAATGCATGTTCCACCTAACACCATCTGTCAAGTACAGGTGTCATCTTCTGTTCCTTCCACGAGAAGGTGCAGGATTCAAGTCTTTTTACGTGGCTGGGGGACATCGAATTGAGGATGTTGGGGGGCTCTTTGTCCCGTTGCCACATCATTTGTCCAGAAAACCGAAAAACAAAGAAAGTTATACCTGACAACTTGTTTTCCAAATAATCATTAACCGTTTGAACAGGCACCACAAAATTGCCCCCTCCCATTGTAGCTGCTCTTCGCTCAAATTCTTTCTGAACAATAATGATGAAGGTTGGATTAAGTTTTAAAAGGATATTAAAACTTTAACAAGAGCCGATGACGTGGTGTGAAATATGAGAAAAAAATAATTCATGTGGTCGAGCCCATTCGTTTGAGATGAAGGCAAGGATGATGATGTTGTGGTATGAAACAATATATTTTACACCATATAACTGAAATCCATGCTCACACCAAAGGCCTAAGAGATTGACTGACCAGAGTCTAAATCAGAAACAAAATATTCACAAGAAAGTTGATTTTCGCATGATAAGAGCCATAAGACGAAAATTGTAATTGGATATCATGGTCAATCCTTCAGAGGCCCAAGGATTTGTAAAAGAGTGAAAAGAAAAAAGAAAAAAACAAAACCAAGTACCTGGAATTCAACCCCAGCAAGAGGTCCATGGAAATTCAAAGCATCAAAATCTTTTGACGAGACAGTGACAACAAGTGCTGCATTTGCCCACCTAGACGCGCGTCGAGAAAATGACATACCATTGATACAGAGTTCTGATGGATTTGTACTAGTAAGAACAACCTGCAAGTGCATTATTAGGACAGAGATTATCATTTCTGAATTCTGGCAATCAGTCTCGATGACAATCATTAATTCTAAATAAGGTAATCAACCAGATTGTAATAGTGCATCACTAATTGATCCTTGATTGACTAAACCACATATTTCTGGTGCACTGAGATGCATGTAAAATCATTATCAGAAGGAAGAGAAGCAAGAAAAATTAGAAGTAAGGGTGCCAGTCAAGGCACTTATCTCAAATTCTACAACTTAAAGTTTCCTTGGCAGAATGTCAGAAGAAAAATTATACCTGCCCACCCGGACACATGCAGAAAGAATAACAACTACGATTTATTGGCCCTGACTTAATCAGTCTGTCCACATTGTCTCCATTGACATAGTCAACAACCTTGTAATCAGCGACTGGTACTTTGCCACGTCCATTGTGAACCTCGGAGGCTAATTCAGAGTACTGCATATTTGTGTCAATTGTCATGAATTTGTTAGGGTCATACCACAAGAATTAAACAATAACATCAAACAACAAACTATTCATTTACAAAACTCAGTTGAAGATTGGGTTAGAGGGCGAGCCTTGACGCAACGGTAAAGTTGCTCCATTTTGACTTGGAAGTCACAGGTTCGAAACAAGGAAACAGCCTCTCTGCATGCGGAGGTAAGGCTACGTGCATCTGACTCTCCCCAGACCCCGCAATGGCGGGAGCCTTACGCACTGGGTTTTCCCTTTGCAATTGAAGATTGGGTTTGCAGCGATATTTGTTATATAAGAAGTTGATAAAAATTATACGAGTGTTTTCTAACAATTCTAAGAAGGAACAAAGAAGACAACTTGGCTATTTAACTATAAATTATCCCACAATTACTTAAGTCCAAGACATGCAGTGACTATAATACAAATTGAGATGTTAGACCAACTACGTCCTATGAGCTGGTTTGAATATGCCCAATCAATTATCTTTCTGCCTGTATTTCTTGTGATCTTATTTCATCTCATCCCTTTTTCCATATTTGCTCAAAGCTTTAAGGGAAGCGGGTTGATGAGAGTATCTTGTCAGTCACCATTCTTATACTATGGCTAGATCTCCAGGAACAAATAAAAAATGAGTGAAAATTTGTATAGAACCCGAAAATAGAAGTTGATTCATTTCGTAGAAGATTGTGTCTATATGTGTGCACATATATATGTATATATATTGTGGATTATAGAATTTCATGCCACTTGTATCGTGAGCCCTGGCAGCACATGTGCAAGACTACCTAGAGACACAAGCTCCGATGTCAAGGCCAGGCCCTTATCACACATTTACCAGACACAACAAGAGATCTTGTGGGATTCTCTGTAAACCCCTCCTGAAAAACATGGCACTTAATCATCAAAGGGTAGGTTATTGAAGTTAGAAAGTTGCACCATCATAATTGCTCCGTCCGCTCTGAACTTGGACTAAACTATTCCAATCTTTAAAGGTAGACAAACTGCTGAGTTCCCCATAGAGCTAAGCTAAGTGAGCTATCCCGACCTCATATCTCGACATAGTTTCTTTAAAGTTTATGCTGATCCAAACTGTATTTAGATGGATTAGCACAACATATTTTCCTCAATAATAAGTTCCAGTAATTTCTTTTATGATTGAAGTTCCTCTCCTAACTAGGATCAATTTTACCAGCAAGCAAGTTCATAAAAAAACGGAACTCTTCAATGAAATAAGTAGAGGTTTATTCAGCTGCTTCTGATGCAAGTAATTTAGTCAAGATGCTACTTAGTGACTCAGTCCCACTTCAGGTGCATGCAATTTATACAAGCTTATACAATTCTTACCTTCTGAGCCAAAACTCCGTAACTCAGTCCACAAACTTGATCATTAGAGTGCTTTGGCTAATACCATACCAGTGTTAACATTCTTACCTTTCACAAGACACATGCAGCAAGGAATGTGAAAATTACAGAACAATGACCTCCGCTGCTGCAACAAGTAAATACTGTGAGGAATTAATTAATACTTTTATGACCCGTAACTCTTACTGCTGCATTTTATGTTTGATAATAGCATGAGTCCTACAACTTCTAAGATGGAAGCATGAAGCCGAATTTAGAGTGATATCACCAAATAAAGGAAGCTGTTACAAATTGCAACTAAGCTTAAAACCATCAGTCAGGAGCTTCCTCAGTTTGTGGAATAAGAAGCTTTAGTTCTTTGAACTACTAATTATCTATGGCTTAATTATATAGCTATAACTTAAAATTTATTAGATGCATGGGTCATTTAGTCTACTAAAATTGCATTTAGAAAATGAAAATTGTTAAGTAGAACTTTATTGACCATACACAAAACATAGAAGGCTTGACAATTTGATAAGCGCCGAATATTGCATATTCAAGCGCCCTTTCTTGCATTAGTTAAGCCTATTAATGGAGTATAAGGTACAGTTTTAATTCATTTGTGTATTTCTCTCTGGTTTCAGGTGGTTTTCCCGAGAATGATCAAAGAAGCGGTTTTGACATCGTTTGTGTTGAAACACGTGTGCCGTGCCGGGGAGTCATCTTCTGGATTGAACCTCTTATGTTGCAGTTTTTGTGAAGCCATGGCTTAGTGTTCATTGTGCCTTTGAGTTGGAAGCATGTCCACGATCCGGCTTGATGAGACTTGCAAGAAGCATTGACAAAGCTGCAGCTGCAAGCTCCCGCGGGTGCCCGCCAAACCCCGCTACTCTCTGCCCATTTTCGCGAGCCCCCGCAGAGCTCCCGTAGAAGGTCCCGCAAGCTTCCGCGACCGCCCGCCAAACACTCCAGTAGCCACCCTCGCGAAGCCAAGCCCCCGCAGGCGCCTCGCGAGCGCCCGCGGATCTGCAGAAGGCAGTTCAACTGCCCCTGATTTCCAGCTTTTTGGTTCCCTTATCCTTCTTTTGTGTGGTCTAGCTTCATGCAGAGGGGGGAGCTCGGGATTTTGGAGTATGGTGAGTAGGTTTTAGTGGATAAGAAGGGGAGGATCATATCATATCTCATATCTCACTTCTCACTTTTGGGCTAGTTCTAGAGAGAAAAAGTAGTGTTCTTGAGGGTTTGGAGTTCTAGCTTGCTCTAAGCACGAAAATGGAGGGTGGAATCTCTTCCTCTTCTTCATTCCTTGCATCCATGAGTAACTAACTCTCGATCTAGGGAGGTGCTGAAGCCCCATTGTGTAAGCATTGCTTTGTTTTGATTTATATTTGGGGGTATAATGTATATATGTAACTTTTCCATGAACTAGAGCACTTCATATGATGTAATGAATTTCATTATCTATAAATGATCATTTTAAGTTAAATATCTTGCCTTAGATTGTTTTTCTCTCATGATTATATTGCTACATTTTCATAGTGACAATGGAGATGAGTTCATGGAAGTGATTTTATTGGCATGATATTTAGGAATTTTGATAATCTATTGCTTAGGGTTTTCTTTTGATAGATTCTTCTTGATTTCTATTTCATGTGCATTTATTATGAGATTAAGGGCTTGATAACCTATGGCTTGGTGATCATGTCTAAGGTTGCATCCTAGTTTAGGTAACCAAAACATGTAATGCCTTGATAGGTTACTCTTGGATCTTGATTTTATATATTTCTTGAAGATAATGTATCAATGTTATGTTGTTGCATTCCACGGTTATATATATATGTGTTTCCCCAAGTAAATCATGTCCTAGCATACTTATTGATGGGTAGTGGATTCACTTCCCTAGTCCCTTCTTAATTGCTTTATCTCTTTAATTCCTAACACAATATTGTCTTATGCATTGTTCAATTCTTAATTTTAGTGACAAACCAACAAAACTCTATATACCCTTTCATCATTCTAAAAGTGATTCTAGATATCTTAGTTGCCATAAACTAGCAGTCCCATTGGTTCGACTTACCCGACCAATAGCCCTATTTTACAATGATTTGTGCTATTGCAAAGGTTGATGTATAATTATCATACCGATCACAATTCAAAACAATAACATATTCTTCCAGGACGAGGAGAAGGAGGGGGAACAAAAAAGAACCAACCTGTATGTGGTTTATCAATTCTTGAGGATGCTCAATCCGCAAACCAACCTGTTCAGCCACACAAGTTATTATGAAAATAAGAACATTTACTATAAGTTTGAGCATGACAACCAAATATAAAGCACAAATATCAACACCCACAAGATCTGTTTAAATTTTTTTCAATTGGGTGCAAAATAAATGCCATAGGAAGTAACAAATTGACAAATCAAACATTCATAATACAATTTCTTTTTCAGTTTTGAAAATGAGAAGAAACTACCTCCGTCTTCCATTCACAATCACTCAAACTTTTGAAGTGATAAGATTCATCAATTTATCATTAATTTTCTCTGTTACAACAGCTTACCTTGTACACGTCTTCAGTCAAAACAAAGAACCATTTTGTTACTTTTGAAGTGATGAGATTCACCAGTTTATCATTAGTTGAAGATGTCTTCAGATAAAAATCATAAAACAGAGAACCATTTTTTCACCAGCACTTGGGAAGGAAACAAAAATGTAACTCATGTTGAACTCTATCCAAGTACTTTTCTGCATTATAGGGCATTTATCTACACAACCCGAATGATAACAAGGGGGGAGTATAAGCCAATAATAGATATACATGATATGCGATGTTTATTGTGCTCTTCTGTGTTATTGCTAAACACTATTTCTTTAAAACTAAATTTTAAGCCGTGCAAAGAAGCATTTGCAGTGGTACAGAAAGAACATGACCATTTGCAGAAATGAATGAAAGGAAAGGGAAGTTTTTCAATGTATTCATAGTTATTGGAACTCACAGCAAAATCTTTTGGAACTAAATTCATATTATGAGAAAGAAGCATTTGATATATATCACGTGCAGAATGCCCAACTGCCAGCACAACGGCATCACAACCCAACTTCTGACTACTGAGCTGCAATTTGTCTCTTGAATCAGAAACTTTAACTCCAACAACACATGAATTCTCTACAAGTAGATCATCTACCCTTGTCCCAAACTTGATAGTAACCTAAGCATATTGATTCAATAAAACAACAAAAGCAAAATCAGTAGAGAATCCAAGAGTTAAGTTGATCCTAAACAATGAAGTTGTTTCCTTTAAGAGAAGCTAAAAATGTGACTCACGCCCAATTCTTGTAGATGTTGTCGAAAGTTGCGAAGTAGTGGAATCAATCTATCTGTTCCCAAATGAGGCTTTCCATCAACCAAAACATTCTTTGGAGCTCCGAAGTGAACCAAAGTTTTCATAACCTGAAACAGAAGTAAATGTATCCCATTTAATTTCATAAGTAACAAAATCATAGACTATAAAAGATGGAATGCTACATGATTACAGAGGGTGTAAATTTGGTGTCTCATATTCCCTTTCCTGTGTCATTTGATTACTTCTAATACAGTAAAACTTGCAACATATGTTTGCAGTGCAAATTTTATTAGGGGACGTTTTAATCATGCCATCATCAGATCCCTCACTCAAATAATTTAATTTGACAAAATATGCCCTCCATTATCCCACTCCAAAGCCACTTCCAATAACCAGAATGACTTATGTTTGCAGTGCAAGTTTTTTAGGAGACATTCGAATCATGCCATCATTGTGTTTGGCCAGAATTCGGATGTTGAGGTCTATAAGTGGTAATATAAGAAAGGATACAATAAAAAACGGATGCAATCCAATGCTGACTGTAGATAAGATGAGGGTAGATCTTGATCCCACGCGAAAGGAGACCAATTACTACACCCGTATGGAGGAGCAATAATTTAAGTTGAAGGTGCCAAAAGCACGACTATAAAATAAACAAATTTTGAAAAAAAAAAAATCAAAGAAGAAGAAAAAAGGCAAGGATGTAATTGAGCTAGAGAGGACACAGTAGACACGGAGTTAACTGAGATTTGGCTTTACATAGGAGTTAGAACTGATTTGAGAAGAGGATTAGTAACCGGAGACTAAAGGTTTCCTTGGGTTGAGTTGAAATGCAGGAAGAACAGTTGTACTTGTTTCCTTTTTAAATTGAAGTACATGAAAAACTGTGGACCACTCCAGGACAGATAAAAATGAAAATTATATTAACCGACAAGTGAAAAAAAAAAAAAAAAATTTAAGAGGAGGACAATTAGAATAGCCATACAGCAGTTAAACTAAGAAAAGGATGAAGTAATGATGCTACCAGAAACAGATCATATGGTATGCCCAAGTACAAATCTGATTAAAGGCAAAACTTTAAGTTATAGAGGTACATCTTTTCATAGAGCAGAACCCAAGTTGAGACTAAGGCTTTCAAAACTACAGGAAAAACAGTTGTCATCTAGTTCATTTTTAAAAAATAAAATAGAAGCACATGGCAAACTGTAAACAATTCCAGGACACATAAAACTGGAAATTTAGATTGTTGACAAGTGGGAAAAAAAGAACGACAATAAGAATAGCCATGCAGTGCTTAAACCTAAGAAAAAAATGTAGTTATGACGCTAGCAGAAAAAGATCATATGGTTGGCTAAAAAAATGGATCATATAGTGTGCACAAGGAGAAATCTGTGTAAAGACAAAACTGCAAGTTACTGGTATAGAGAAATGGTTCTTACTGTCAGAACACTATCAGTGTTCCTCCCAATTCTAGTTACTAGCTTCCCATCACTCCAAGTACCTGCACCACCCTGTCACCCATAAGTCCTTAATAAATGAATTATGCAAATTGAACTGATAACCATCACTCACACCAAAGTAGCTCATGAAAAATGAAAAAAACAATAAAAAAATGAACTTAAGGTAAATAATATATTACAGATCTATTTTAGTTAGATTTCTAATGTGTTGCATCATGCATGCATATCAAACCAGAGCAGTAATTCAAAATATAACCTCCTATGATGCTCTTCCATATGTATGTCCGGGCCGGGTTATAAGATTTTAAATTACAGCAACCGGCAAAAGCCATATATTTATATTGCATATGATACTGTCACTAATTTTTCAGCATATAACACAAAATTATATAACCAAATTCTAGTAAATAATTATTGAATGGGTAACAGGAAAGCTGCATAATGCGTTCAACAATACAACCAACAAAAAGCAGGAGCCAATATTTTCCTGCCTGAGCACAAAAGCATGACTGTATTTAGTATATTATTATCTAATCATTAAATAGGTGGGTGGTTCAGGTGTTTGTTAAAATAATCCTCATTAATCAAGTAGTGATGCCTTTGGATGTGCTCAAGCAACACTTTGTAACCTCCCCCCTCCCCAATATACTGGGAAGGGAAACACTTTGTATCCCCCCCACATATGGATAAAGAAAAGAAAAGAAAAAAGAAATATTCTATATATCATGGCTGATAGGACTATGGACATATTTTTCAGGCACAACAAAAATCTTAAAGTCTAGTGCTTCCCTACAAGAAACAGAATCTGATAAAGATACTCTGTACCAGCTTGGTCTGGTAAACTCTTAAATCTTGCTTCAAGTTCTCATCCAAATCCAAATGTCAGTTTGCTTTAATTACAAACTTGAACTATTACATTTCACTCATCAAATCTTAGGATATATCGGTGAATTTACTTTTGAAAGAACATTTTTGTATGAGGGACACTGTTAGATAGCCTTCCATTATGTGTAAGCACAATCATAAGATGTTATCCTAGATTTCTTCTCTATAGATTAGTATCGATGAAAGAAATATTAAATAAAAAAATCCAATTAATTAAAACAACTTTTTAAATATAAAATTATCTAAAAGTGTAGCCAAATTTGCGTTAAACAAACAATAACAATCAACAGAAGTAATCAAGTGTATTTAGGGATGTCATTTCCTTTAAGATCACCTGCCTGACGTAAGGCAACAGAGTCATGAAAATCATATCTGCGGTAGAATTTTTCATTTTATGCTGTTTGGCCTGAATGTTTTTAGGAGGCTATAACTTTTCTCCTTGTTAATTAAACATGCCATCTTACTTTCTTTTGGCTTTTTAATAACGTAATCTAATCATTTCAGATTAATTTCAACATGTAATATAAATTGCTAATTTACACCTTCCATGGAAACCTAATTGTACACAAAAGCAAAATCCATGATATGCAACTTTGCCAAAAGAACAAACATGATATTTTTTGTTAAGCAAACATATATATAAATTTATGTGTTTCTATTGTTAACTAATATGTTTTCATGATAAATAACACAATAATAAAAGACAAGGAATTTTTTTTTTTTTTTTTTTTTTTTGATAAGTAAAAATAATAATGGCCAAAAGCTTAAACCAAAAGACAAGGAAAAAATGATACAGTAGTACAAAAAAACAATAAAATAAAAAAAAAACCACTGAAAGAAAAAACCTTCATTAAATATTAAGTGAATCAAGATAAAACCTCCCCGAAGCAAAAATTGCTTTCCAATTCCAGGACTCGCCGAACTACTAAAGCGCCAATATCTCTTCCCCTTTGTTCAACTGCTTGACCTCTTTCCACTAAGGTAACATCTGCACCAAGTTCCGCGAGCACAAGAGACGCAAACAAACCTGATGGTCCACTACCAACAACCACAACTTTTGGTTTTTTACCAATTGGATACTTGAATGATTCCCCCAGGTGATGCCCACCTTCTCTTGAATTTGTACCTTCATTTATCTTTCTATACTCGTGTATTATACTGATTACATCACCAGAATCTCTTTCATGAGGTATATGCTCTACAAGCCCAACTTTGGGCTCTAGTTGAAAAATGAAGTCCCAAGTTCGAGGTTGTAGACTCGTGAGTTTTTTGACATCCATGTCCACAGTATATACAAATTTGGGCTCCTTCAGAAACTGACAAATATTGCCAAAGCAAATTAGTCAATATACAAATTTCTTAATATTGTTCACTTGGATATCCAAAAATATAGTATCATAACAATTATATCTTATGATTCAAAAGATATTAGTGCTTTAAGGACGAATAAATATATAGGCATACACCACGTGTGGTGAGAAATATTTGTTCATTATTTATTCAGAATTGAAGCTATATTTCTAATTTGAAGACATTAAGAACATTTTAGTTCAACTATTACAACGATAAATGTTGTTTAACATGTAAGTGACAGAAGAAAAAAGAAGCCTGAGATTAGAATTTTTAAGATGTAATTAGCTTAGATATCAGTTAAAAAAAAAAAATTCCCCTAGTTGATATCAGTTTAAATTAATCTTTAAAAAAAATAAAAAATTCTTAATCACATAAACCCTCCTGCACCAGCAGCTGTTTTTTTTTTTTTAAATAAGTATTATAACTATCTTCTAAACAATCTCTTTTTTGTGACTTTGTCTTTGTTATTATCACATGATATTTACAATTCACAGATAAAAACAGCCACTTTGTGACAGAAGAGTGTGGAATTTTATGCATTTTATGTTAAAATGGCGTAGCCTGATTATAAAAAAAATAAATAAATAAATAACAAAAAAAAAAAAAAAAAATGACCGACCCTCTCTAGGTATAACATTTTTGTTACCAAAATTCTTCAATGTTTCACTCATATGCAAACTGGAGTTTCTAGGGGCACTTCAGACAATCCAATACATCTCATGAGATATAAGGATTTGAATACCTAACCAGATAATAACCTTTGTGAACATGAATCATGCGAATCAAGTGCAATAGTTAAACAAGAGTGCACCAAGACACTTCCTTTTATTCACAATTGTAATTTGATAACTTAAACCATAATATACGTGCTAGAAGACATATTTGAAATGTAACCTAATTAACTTACATAACAAAGGGTGACCTTTTCTAGAATATAAAGAGGATAAATATTCTTGTATGCAGATCATCTAAATATCAAGAAAGTGGCATTTTCTTCTGAATAAGAATCACAACTGGACACGACCAAATATAAAATGACAAAAAAAAAAATCAATTTATCTGCCAAATGAACCAACCTTCCTCGCGTCAAAAGATTTCCGAACAACTAAAAATGCTTCTGGTGGGAGCATAGAAGCAACCTGACAAAGTAATACAATGCGGTCCACAATTAAAAACAAATGCAGGGTCCATATATCAGCAAGATACTAAAACACAATTCTAATGGTGGTTTGAAATGAAAAACTGTTCGGTTGCCGTGAAAATGTAGGAAAAACAAAAGGAATTGATTTTTTATTTTTTATTTTTAAATTCTTTTGCTGCCTTTTTCGTTTAGTTAGCATTCTTGGGAGGCGAGAGGACTAAGAATTACCGGAAATTCAAGAACTTTGGCAATTTCTTCAAGCAGAGCATCGGAAACACCAAGAAAATCTTTTCCGGGATCTTTGTGGATAGAGACTCCAAGCTTAAATAGCCTCCAAAAGCCTCTGAATTTGTCGTCGATATCGATTTGGGTCTTTGTTTTCAACTTGAGTTTCTTCTTTTCTGAGGGGTACCTCAGTTTGCCAGTTCGTTGAGAGCGCTTGGCGAATCGGATTTTGAGAGGTTTGGGATGATGAGAGTGAAATGGTTTAGAACTCGGAAATGGAAATTTAGGGTTAGGTTTTGTAAATGAGAGATTGAGTGGGATAAACTTGCAGGCAACAGACATGGTTGATTGGAGCAGTGAGAAGAGAGAGTCTTTTGTTTTTTTTTTTTGAAAAGGGAGGGTCGGCCGGAGATAAGGGAGTTCTACACTTCTACAAGACTAGAACTTGGTTTGACGAGTTGCTACACCGAAGCATTACAAATATAAATAGCCAATGAAATCGAGCCACGTCACTGAACTGCGAATTTAATTAATTAATTAAGTAATTTTTTTTTTTTTTTGGCAAGGTGGTGCAGACCCTCCCGCAACGTATACAGTTACTGATAAAATTCCCTAGATGGTCTCAATTGGAATCAAACGTCAAAGTAAAGATTTAGAACACAGAAAAATCAACAGAACACACAAGAATATGATTAAAGTACAGTATTTTATAATATTAGCCCAACACAAATTGATGGACGTACACATTGGACGCGAACCAGCCATCACACTTGATCTTCATCTTATTAAAACAGCAAAACACTATATATGACAGCTTGAAAAGCCAAAGCAACTAATTAAAACAACAAACAGCACACAACATCACTTCTGGAAATTAAAACAACAAACACGACACTTACATCTTAGGCGTAGTACTGGAAGGTTCAAACACAACACATATCAATGAGCTAATCAGTCACAACAAGGCAACAACAATTTGATTTTGTTCAGCTTAGCTGCCACTTCTTTGATGTCACTTCTGTCTTCTGGAAACTGTGTGGAACACTCCAAGCCTAATTCTATGATGGCCTCAAAGATACTTTGTGTGGCAACCATTTCTCCTCCTCCTCCTGCCTCTAACAAACCACTGTCGGTGACTTCCATTATATTGTAGGGAAATGATACATTCACTCATTCCCTCAGACTCAACTCTCCGGTAAACATTTCATCGGTTGGTTTCTTTCTTGTGAATGTCTCCAACAACATTATGTCATAGCTGTAGATATCACCTTTAATGGACACTCTTCCTTCTGAACCATACTCTGTCAAACATTCAATTTCTTCGAGAAGCATATATAATAATATATAACTATATATATTCATTATTCATCTTACACTGATAAAATGATAATTGTGTGCATGTGTGATAAAGAAATATGCCATTTTCTTGGTGAAAATTCTTCATCTAGTAAGCAGAGCTCGAGTCCTGCTGAATCAGAAAAACATTACCCTTTTTACCATAATATAATCCAAAACTTGTTAATTAGAAGAACTAGAAAGGATAATATTTTCTGACTACGCATACAAAGAATTACACAGTGCCGACAGCTTATCTAATAAGAGAAGTTAATCAGAAGACTTCATTTTGATCAATCACTACCCTAGAGCCAACCTAAGACCATGGTAGCCATATTAGTGAGAAAATTTAGGGGGGAAAATCAAAGGTTAGCAATGGCCTGTGTTGGTATTTATATAATATGATTTGTTATTGTCAGAATATAAAAACAAAGAAAATTCTGTAACGCAAGAAAAAAGAAAAACATTACCAGGCGCAATGTAGCCGAGTGTACCCAGAGTGTTTGTTTGTGTTTCAGTCCTGTTGTTAGCTAATATCTTCGCAATGCCAAAGTCACCCACATGTGCAACCATGTCATCATCTAAAAAGGACATTGCTAGGCTTCAAATCACAGTGGACAACAGGCTCTGATTGACCATGATGGAGATATTCCAAAGCCAATGCAACATCAAACATGGCACTGACCCTTTGAAGGAGATTCATGCAGTAGTTGTGAGAATATAACCACTTCTCTAGACTTCCATTAGGCATGTATTGCAAAACCAAAGCTGTTAACTCAGTATTAGAACATGCACTTGTGACCTTAACAAGATTCCTGTGCCTAACTGTTCGCAGCACTTTGCATTCTGCTTCAAAACTTCTAACAGCTCCTTCACGTTGTAAATTGAAAATTTTCACAGCAACATTTGTTCCATCTGAAAGGATTCCCTTGTATACTGACCCAAAACCTCCCAATCCAATCAAGTTAGCTTCACAAAAGTTATTTGTAGCACGACAAAGCTCCTGATATGAAAAAAATCTGTGCTCCACTGCATATGATAAAGGAGTTAAATATAGATTTTGTGGATTATTCCCATGGCGTACTTTCAACATGATATACAACAGAGCAAGGAGGACTGCCACCGATGTGATGGTAATTGGAACAATATATTTCAAGGGAAAATGTTTAGCATCTGAACTCGGGCATGGCTGGACCTGTAAAATAGATTTCACGCAGAGTGCATCATTCTCAATGAAAGATTGTGCTGTGAAGTTTTCAAAAGGCCCTCCACTTGGTATCTCCCCAGATAGCTTATTGCAAGAGAGATTTAAGTAATTGAGATGAGAAAGTGCCTGTAAAGACTTGGGTATAGAACCTGATAGGTTGTTGTGGGAGAAATCCAGTGTTATCAGGTTGCCAAATGATTCAGGTATGGGTCCTGAAAATGAATTTCTGGACAAGTTCAGAGAACTGAGGCTTTGAAAGGCTCCCAAAGCGCTTGGAATGTCGCCAGAGATTTGGTTCCAAGATAAATCAATGCTCTCAAGGGATTGCACTGCTCTAATGCTTTGATATAGGCTTCCACTTAGCGAATTGAATGATAGATTCAAGAACAAGAGATTATCAATTTTGCAGGTACAGGGGCTCTTCTTTGTAGTTTGACATTACGTTGTCAATCTGTAGTAGCTGGAAAAAGAGAAGGTGACCAAAGGATCGGCTAGAGATGAAGGTTTAAAGATATTTATCAGGCTAAGTTAATCTTGCTTTGTATTCTTGTATATATTTGTAACTTTGCCTACTAAATATATAGAATTAATATTTATAGCATGTGTTAACCCGATGATAAGTAAGAATAATTTCATCAATATGAATGGTTAACGGTATGAATTTCATTCCCGGTGTAATTAGAACCTAGAGATATATATGATATGTTTATGTAGAATTATGGAATCTAATTGGTTGGAGTGTTGTGACATCATTATGGGTCATGGTAGTTACGTAGGACCTGTATGTGTATGTATATATGTAAGGGGTAAGTAGGTAATTGATTGGTATATATTATTATGTGGAATTATTTTAACGTGTTGTTATATAAATATATATATTTGGGAATTTTATAATGATCATGTGAATTAATAATTGATGTTCTCTGTTCATTCTGTTATATGAATACAGAATGGATAAAGGTGAATTAGGATTTGAGGTCATGGCAAATAAGAGCTGAAGATCTTGAATTAATTATATTAAGTTTCTATGAATTTAATAAGTTATAATATGGATTTTTGGGTCAACTTGAACTTAGAATGATATCTAATAGATATATATATATATATATATATATTCACTTTAATACATGATTCAGTGGATTAACAGATTAGTATGTGAGTACAATTTATATATATATGGAATTAAATTGGAAAAGGAAGTTTTATGAGTATATAAATATATACCTATTAAAATTAGTTTCTCATTGGTACTTTAGAACCATATTGGGAGGGACGTGTGATTCTCAGGTTCAAAGCGGACAATATCATACCATGTGGTGGAGTGGGTCATTACAAGCAGCATCAATAGGAAGGCCATGCATGACCTTTTCATTCTTTAATATTATTTCCACTTAGATCAATTCCAAGAGAAAGAGAGAAATATCATAGTTCATAAGTCTTGGGACTCTTTACATATGCATATTATTGCAACGACGATGCATTCGTCTTTCCATGGGTTCCACTTCCTTGCATCATATGGAAGTGAATGCCTCCGTACTTTCTTTCTAACAAAGAACTCTTGGTGTATATAGCACCACTCAATCCGCATTTAATGCACAGTGTATTTTGAGTTAATCTCTATTCTCTAATACAGTATAAGATTAGATGACAATACATATTTTGCCCAAAAAAAAAAAAAAAAAGGTAAATACGAAAAATAATCAAAAAATTTTTTTTTTTCCTGGCAAAGACAAACAAGCACAACCCAAAAAAAAAACCCTACAACAAAGAGCTCCCAGCATCCGCCACCGCAAGAGGCACAACGGAAGGAGGAAAAGATGACAACACCTGAAGCCCAAGCCGCGAAAGAGAAGCCAAAGCATGAACCACCCTATTACCTTGACGAGGCACATGATTCAAAGAGGCAGACGAAAATCGTTGAAGATCCAAATTAATATCAAAGCAAATAGGAGCAATTTCCAATAGACAAGTCTCGCCGTTCAACACTCCAGCCACTACAACTTTGGCATCTGATTCAAACCATAATCGAGAAAAACCCAGCTCCAAAGCAGAAAAAAATAACACGCTGACACACTATAGATTCCGCCTGCAACGAAGAAGAAGCCGAAAAAGGAAGAAAAATAATCGCCTTAAGCACAGCACTACGAGAATCCTGAAAAACCGCACCCCTGCCGCCCCTCAAGGACCGCTGAGAAAACGAAGCAGCAAAATTACACTTAACAATACCAAAAGGAGAAGGACACCACGAATCCACCAAGGTGCTAGCCGGCACTGGAGTTAAGGAAGAACAAAGGGAGGAAGAACAACCACCTTCTTAACAATAAGCTCAGGCTGCCATAAAATCCCATCAAAGATCAACCGGTTTCTCACTTTCCAAATACCCCAAATACAAAAAGAAATCAAACTAAGGACCCCGTCAAATTCCGAGGAGAGCAAAGCCCACTGCACCAGAAATCGCCATCCATCCCGAAAAGAATAGAATGAATAATTCAAAAAATCAAAACGCAACGGAGATACCTTCCACACCTGAACTGAATGGGGACAGGAGAAAAGAAGATACACGACAGATTCCTGATGCAGACCACAACGAGGACATAAAGGCGACACATCACAACCCCGATCCAACATAGAAACATAAACCGGCAAAGGAAGTGTTGCACCTTAGACAGAGTACGACACCGCCAAATGGAGGACAAAGAACCATGAGAAGAATCAACGCCAGAAAACATGGACATGGAAATACCTAATTTATAGGCAGACCGTACGGAAAACTTACTCGACCTCTCTGGCGCCCAAATAACAACATCCGACTTATCCCACCTGCCGATGTGAATTTTCAGAATTTCCTAAACCGTAAGAAGAGGGAAAAGCTGAACCAAGAAATTCACACGCCACGAAAACATCGCCGGATCAATCAAATCCGCCACGGAAGCAACAAAAGAGAAATGATCGTGAACCGGGGGTGGCGGTAGCTTATGTGGCAGTGTAAGGACCCAATGATCATTCCTAATATGCGTGGACGAACCATTCCCTATCAAGGATTGTAAACTCTTTTGTAACAAAGCCTGAGAAGACCAAATACTGTGCCAACCCCATGAAGGATTAGACCCTAATGAGGCATCCAAAAAAGACACAAATGGAAAATACTTTGCCTTAAACAGCTATACACCAAGCCCTTCTTCGTAACCTGAAAATGCTAAACATGTTTCACCAAAAGAGCTAAGTTGAACGCCTCCAAATCACGAAACCCAAGACCACCCGAATTCTTGCTCCGGCAAAGAAGATCCCAGTGAACCCAATGAATTGCCCGATGCTTATCCTTAGAAAATAATCAAAATTAAGTTGACCTCAGTTAACCTCTTATTCACCCACCCAAAAAAAAAAATTAAAAAAATAAAAGATATATACTCAAACATAGCATATATAAAAGACACAGTTTGCCACTAATTGGGAAATTTTCGAGTCTCATTAATAGTTCAATCTTATCTAAATTAACAATTTAGTGCATAGTCAATTTTAGAATAAATGAGGTACAACTTATTGGAACAACATTTGCACCCAGTAAAAAATCTTGGCTAGGGAAACTGAAAAGAGCTTGCCACACCTCTTCATTCCTTCTGCCAAACCACCACTTCAACCATTTCTTCAACAACCATCGTCTATCAACGTCGCAACTCCTACCACCAACCCATTAGAGAATTTCTTCAAATAGAATTCACTACAACAACTCAAGTTTCTAAGTTATCATAAACAGGAGTAAAGGGTATTGCAGCTGATCAACCGTGGTAATATTCAAATATATATATATTGCGTCAACTCAACTCAATAAAACCAAAATAGGAACTTTTCACAAATCTTATATCTTCATTCTCAACTCAATAAAGCCTTCTTTTTTTTTTTAATTACCGAAAAAAAATAAAACTTTTTTTCAACTACTTGAAATCGTCGCCTCATTCATCTCAAAAAAAAACTGAACATTGGACAGGAACCATTAATCCTTGAGCATCCTCATCGCCATCTATCAAAATTGATCTTCATGTCAAATGTTGATGATAAAAGTTGATAAAAGTAATTACCGTATCTCTTCTTCCGTATTACTTCCATATATACATTTCATTATTTTCATGTTTTTTTTTGTTCTCAATTAGTTAGTTAGAAGTGAAGTAGTTACCATCAAAGCTTGGTAAAGTGCAAAAATCCTTCATGAATTATGTTGGAATTTGTAGATAATTCTTAAAGTATATTTTGTGCATAAAACTCCCTTAACTATCACATTTAGTTTTAGAATGTCACAATGCCTTGACTATATTTTATTAAATAACCATAATAAATTAATAATGCACTTTTTTATTGAATTACACTTAATCTATTTTTCTTATTAAAATGAATAATGAAAAAATATATATATACTAATTTGATGACATATTCTCTATTAAATTTGCATAAATTCACCTTTAATTTTTTAAATAAAAATCTCAAGTAGATTATTTTAAAACAATATAAGTAATTTCTTAATTTTTCATGAATATATAGCATAAAAAGGAATTTATTTTTTATTTAGGTAATTTATTAAATTTTCATGAATATATTGTATAAAAAAAAGGGATATTTTTTATTGTAAAAAAGTTTATAGTGAGTATAATAAGTTCTATTATAAATAATAAAGTTTTACTAATAAGTTAATCAGTCTATAAAATGGTAGTAACAAATATATTTATTCAATTTTTTTTTTTTTTTTTGATAAACTGATACTAATAATAAAATTAAGATAAATGATATATTTAATATTTAATATATAGATAACAAAAATGATAATAAAAATAGTTTAGTAAGAAATGACAAATGTAATGAGAAAGGGTAAAATAATCTTTTGTGATGAGTTTGTCTTTAATTACAACAAATTTGGGTTATTTGCAAAGGAGCAATAATTTAAAATTTTTTTTTTTTTTTTGCACTTTGCCCTAAAAGCTTTTATATGAACTGCGTTGGACGGGTAATGACACTGGACTCCATTCGTTTCTCAGGGAAGTAAGGTAGAAAATGAACAAAGTATCCATATTTTTTTTACTTTACCGTCTCTGGACAGATAACCCCATTAATTATAGTACTATTACTTCTTCTGGTATGTAGAACAAAATATTATAGATCTCAATCAGCATGGGCAAAACAGAGCCCCAAAACAATCAAAACACTATGGCTAACCTGAAAAACACCAAGCTAGGCAACAAGAAAAGAAAAGCAACTAATTCAACAAACCTATTTTTATTGGAGTTACGGCCATATGTTACACACAACACCAGTTCTGGAGTAAAACTATAAACAGGCCACTTATATGGAAGGGTCAAATACAACACACATCAATAAGCTGATCACAAAAGCAACAACAATTTGATTTTGTTCAGCTTAGCTGCCACTTCTTTGATGTCACTTCTGTCTTCTGGAAACTCTGTGGAACACTCCAAGCCTAATTCCATGATGGCCCGAAAAATACTCTGTGTGCCAACAATTTCTTCTCCTCCTGCCTTTAACAAACCACTGTCCATGACTTCCATTATATTGTGGGGAAATGATGCATTCACCCATTCCCTCAGACTTACCTCTCCAGTGAACATTTCATCTGTCGGTTTCTTTTTTGTGAACATTTCCAACAACATTATCCCGTAGCTGTAGACATCACCTTTAATGGACACTCTTCCTTCTGAACCATACTCTGTCAAAAATTCAATTTCTTTAAGAAGCATAATAATATATAATAATACTCATTGTTCACCTTATATTGCTAAATGAAAGTGTGTGTTTGTGTGTGTGTGAAAATGAAATTTTTTTTTTTATTTTTTTTTTTTATGTGCCATTTAATTTCTTGGTGAAAATTCTTCATCTGGTAAGCTAAGATCCAGTCCTGTTGTATGAGAAAGCATTGCGCTTCGTACCATAATATAATCCAAAACTTGGTAAGAGAAATTCAACATGCCGAGCTAAGCACACAAAGGCTTTAGAATCATCTGATTACCAGGCAAATTTGAGCAAGGCTAGTATTGTTTAATTATGCATACAAAGAATTAGAAAGTTTCAACATCTTAGCTAGTTAGAGAAGTTCAGGTCTTATGAGAAACACTGCATCTTGATGATCACTAACCCACCTAAGAGCTGGCAAGACTCAAATAATATATATATTTAAAAAAAAAAAAAAAAGAAAAAAAAAAAAGAAAAAGATAAAGAATTAACTAATAATTTGGGATCAATCATTTAAAGAAATCAGAAATGGCATAATCCATATATACCTATATGTGTTGCAGGTAACACGTTTCATTGCCTATAAGTGCCCAAGACTCGTGGGAACAAGCAACCATATTTTTTTAGAAGCCATATTAGGGAGAGAATTTAGAAAGAAAAAGAAAAAAAGCAGTGGCTAGAAATGGCCTGTGTTGTTATTTATATGTATGATTTGTTACTGTCAGAATATAAAACACAAAGAAAATTAAATATTTAAAAAAAAGTAGATAAGGCCAAGAATATATATATTACCAGGCGCCATGTAGCCCAGTGTACCAAGAGTCTTCGTTTGTGTTGCAGTCCAGTTGTTAGCTAATATCCTCGCAATGCCAAAGTCACTCACATGTGCAACCATGTCTTCATCTAAAAGGACATTGCTAGGCTTCAAATCACAGTGGACAATAGGCTCTGATTGACCATGATGGAGATATTCCAAAGCCGATGCAACATCAATCATGGTACTGACCCTTTGAAGGAGACTCAAGCAGTAGCTGTGAATCCACTTCTCTAGACTTCCATTAGGCATGTACTGCAAAACCAAAGCTCCTAACTCAGTGTTAGAGCATACACTTATGACCTTCACAAGATTCCTATGCCTAACTGTTCGCAACACTTTGCACTCTGCTTCAAAACTTTTAAAAGCTCCTTCAAGTTGTAAATTTAGAATTTTCACTGCAACGTTTATTCCATCAGAAAGTATTCCCTTATATACTGAACCAAAACTTCCCAATCCAATCAAGTAGGCTTCACAAAAGTTATCTGTAGCACGACAAAGCTCCTGATATGAAAAAAACCTATGCTCCCCTGCATCTGATAAAGGAGCTAAATTATGATCTTGTGCGTTATTCCCACGACGTATTTTCAGCATGATGTACAACATAGCAACAAAGATTGTCACTGATGCAATGGTAATTGGAATAACATATTTGAAGGGAAATTGTTTAGCATCAGAACTCATGCATGGCGGGACCTGTAAAATAGGTTTCCCACAGAGCGCTTCATTCTCCATAAAAGATTGCGCTGTGAAGTTTCCGAAAGGCCCTCCACTTGGAATCTCCCCAGATAGCTTATTGAAAGAGAGATTCAAGTGTTTGAGATGAGATATTGCCTGTAGAGACCTAGGTATTGAACCTGATAGGTTGTTTTGGGAGAGGTCCAAGAAATCCAGTGTAATCAGTTTGCCAAGTGATTCAGGTATGGGTCCTGAAAATGAATTTCTGGACAAGTTGAGAGAATTGAGGCTTTCAAAGACTCCCAAAATGATTGGAATGTTACCAGAGATTTGGTTCCAAGATAAATCTATGCTCTCAAGGGATTTCACTGCTCTAATGCTTGGATCCAGGCTTCCACTTAACGAATTGAGTGACAGATTCAAGAACAACAGATTATCAAGGCTCCATAAATTCAGTGGTATCGATGAGTTCAATGAATTAGACTGCAAGAACAATCTCTGCAACCTAGTAAGATTTCCAATGCAGTGAGGGATTGGTCCAGAGAGCTTATTGTTATGGAGATAAACATTTCCCACATTGTTTAAAAGGCAAATCTCATTCGGAATGGATCCTTCAATCTCATTATCATAAAGATACAACTTTTGAAGACCTTTCAGCCTCCCAATTGTGGAGGGAATGGTTCCATTCAAGCTGTTGTTGCTCAGGTTGAGATAAGTCAAGTTTGTATAGGAACCAATTCCTTCAGGAATTCGACCCATCAGTTGGCAATTAAATGCATCAAACATCAGCAGGGAAGTAGAAAGATTTCCATTATTCATAGAATCTGGTAACATGCCATGAAATGGATTATTATCTATGATCAACTGCTCCAGGGAGCTCGAGTTTGTCAAATACGTGATAAAATCAAGTTCATGGCTTCCTGGTTCTATTGTTAGCAGATTTACACCCAGATTAAGTGTTGCAAGTAGTTTTAAGTGGGCTAGACTTGTAGGCACAGTTCCAGTAAATTGATTGTACGCTAGTACTAATGTATCGAGCATAGAAGAATTGGACAGATATTCAGGGATGTTTCCACTGAATTGATTCTCTGCAAGGTTAAGTATTTCAAGATTAAGAAGGCCAGGCTCAGAAATGGATGGAAGTTTTCCTGAAAGATTCATAAACGGTAACTGAATCTCTTGTATGGAGGAGATGTTGAATAGGGATGGAGGTACAGATCCAGTGAGATAATTAGCAGCCAAGCTAATTCCTTCCAAATATGGAATATGACCTATCTCATTAGGTATGTTCCCGTAAAATTGGTTGTAATCCAAACCAAGCCACTTTAAGCTGGAAATGTTACCCAAGAAAGGTGGAATTGTACCTGTGAGGTTGTTTGTTCCGAGAAAAAGCATGCGGAGACTGGGTAGGCTGCTCAATTCTTTTGGTATGCTGCCACTAAATCCATTACCTACCAAAGAAATGACTTGAAGTTGTTGGCAGTGGTGTAAACTTGCCGGGATCACCCCTTCTAATTTGTTATCTTGTAATATGAGTGCCTTCAAGCGTCTCAAAAGACTGATCTCCTGAACAAGATGACCATGGAAATTGTTAGTTCTAAGGTCTAGCCTCGCAAGGAAAGAGAGGTTACCAACATGAGGGGAGATGGTGCCATGGAGCCCAGAGCCATTGAGAACCAAAGCTGCGACTCTTTGCCTGTGTCGACGGCTACATGTCACGCCAACCCATTCACACAAGTTGCTTTTCTCAGTCCAATTACTCCCTAACACATTGTCGGGGTCCAACTTGATTGCAGACTTGAACGCAAGGAGAGCCATTTGATCAGTGACATTATTTGATGAAGAAGAAGAGAGGGCCACACATACCATGCACCAAGAATGCAGCAGCAGCAGCAGCAATTGGAAGACCATGCATAAACTTCTCATTTTTTATTCTTTCTACTTTATCAAATATTCCAAGAGGAAGAGATATCAATGTATCGTATCGCTCAGATCATACACATATATATATCCTACAACTAAAATTAGTTTTTGCGCTGGAACTCTCCTACCGAAATGACTAGTCAAAGCATTCGCCTTCATCTGATTCAAAGAAGTGGGACCTATGTAATGGAGGCGAAAGTCTCCTACTTTTTTTTCCACAAAGAACTTTGGTTCATATAGCACCAAACATCATTGACTTATAGATATAAAATTACCGGTCAACACATATTTTGCCAAATAATCATATATTACCAAAAATAAAATAAAAAGTCAAAATTAAGTTGACCTCTAATCTTATTATTATTTTTATTTTTATTTAAAAAAATTAAATTAAATTAAATCTAATGTTTAAGGCTTAGCTTTAAAGTTCAAATAAAAACAAGACAACGTGTTTTTATAGTCGACTCAGCAAGATAAATCAAAGATATTCAATGGTCTTCGACCGGCTAGATTTGTCTCTCCCTAAAGATCTTTTGAAATTTTGGATTAAAGTAGAATATCGCGGTTCAACGAACGCGTCTTTCAAACTTCTAACAGCATAATAGCAGTAACATTCTATTCCCTTTGTTTCCCACTTGTATAAGTCAATGTGGGGGCATAATAATAATAATATATATATATATATATATATTCTCGTTTTTTAACCCGTTTAGTGAGCTTTTTCCAATTTGTGTTCGTCACTACGGGAAAAATAATAATCCAGGAAATTCTGAAAGCAAGTATACTAAAAGGATCTTACTTAAATATTGGAAGTAGCAAATATCTTCCTCCTAAGGACTCCACCTATTATCACTAATAATCATATGTAAATAGACGTAGGTACAAGAAAATACAGAAATTTGGTAAATCAAGATTAATGAGTTTTTGAGAACTCCAACATAAGCAGTTTAGGTGATTTTGCCAAGTCGATTTCCCTGATCAGCAAGAAAACTAGCTCCCAAATTCATGCATTTAATACAACTTGGGTTTCAAAGCTCCAACAGAGAAATTTCAAATTTAAAGGCCGACACGTCAAACAATAACAGTACAACACATTTGTTACAATCAAGATTTTCAGGCACGGTTCTAGCTTCACACTTCCCGCCACTATCTGCTGCATCACTGCATTGGTGAAAAATCATTCGGCCTTACAATGTTTACATCCTCAAATTCATTGTCATCTGGATAAAGGAAAAAGTTAGTAAAACTACAGCGGCTATGGTCTTAATATGTGCCAAAAAGAGATGCAATAAATCTCAAATAAAAAAGACGTTGAAATAGTTCTAGTACCAATCATCTTGGATATTAAACAAAATAATCCCAAATTAAAGCCAAGCTTGCCAATTACTAAATTGTGATTTATTTCATCACTTTCCAATTTGAGTATAGATTCAAGCATTTGTAGAGTGAACGTGTTAATTCTTGGAAAATTATCCCACATATCCACAGATGCATGTTATGCGGAAGAGAAAAAAATAAAATAAAATAAAGAAGGAATTGACAAAAACGGATCATATATGAACTTCTATAACATACATCACGAATCTACTTAACTTTATCTATCTTCCTTCTCAATGGCACAGTTTGCCACTAATTGGGAAAGTTTCGATAATCGCGTTCATAGTTCAATCATATCTAAATTAACAGCTTATGGAAAAAACTTTTGCACCCAGAACCACTAGCACAAAATCTTTTTAGTCCAAAAACATCAGAAGGTGAACTAAGAAAATTTGAGCACCGCATCCATGGCTAGGAAAGCTGAAAAGAGCCTGCCACACCTCCCATCGCCCATCCTCATTCCTTCTATTTACTTTGGTTTCTTAAAGTGATAATGACAAGTTCTTCTAATATCACCACTACCAAACCACCTCTTCAACCCTCTTCTTCAACAACCATCATTGTCAACATTGTAACTCCTAACACCACCAGAATTTCTTCTAATAGAATCCACTACAACTCAAGTTTTTAAATTATCATAAATAGGAGTAAAGGGTGCAGTTGGGCAATGGTGCAAGTTACATCAACTCAACTCAAAAAAGACCTAAATAGAAAATATTCACAAATCCTATTTCTTCATACTCAACTCAAAAAGCCTTGTTCCAACTACTTGAGGTCTGCGCCACTTCGTCTTTGTCCTCAATATGGACCGTGTCACTTTTTCTTGCCTCTCTAGTGCTGTAGTGCAGTTATTGGTCTTTGTTGCACATTCCAAACCATCATATTCAATTTCCTTCTTTTTATCTCCAATGAATGCACAAAGCATGGGTATCTTGCTATACGGATTGATATTGCTCGACACAAACATGACATGATTATTCTAAAATTGGCACGAACATGACAATATCATTAAATCGGTGACACAACACGACCAGTGTGACCTATTTAATAAATGAGTCGACACCAAACACGTTACGACACAACAAAGCAAGACACGTTTAATTGAAATTTCATACTATTAGGGTCGTTTCAAACACAAACATGATATGTTTCTTTTTTTCTGATAAAATAGCACAACAATTAAATGGCTCTAGTCAAGTTATAAATGGGTTGACGTTTCAAACAAAAAAATGACACCTTTAATTAGCTTGTCAATTCAGGTCAACACGAACATGATTATGCCAAACCCACTTATCCTGTGTCGTGTCAAGTATTGCCACCCCCAAGCTTGGGTCAACAATTCGAACTATTGGTGAAAAAAAATGAGGGAAAAACACAAGAGAGGACAATGGGAAAAGATAGACAGGAAAACAAAAAAAATATATATGTGTGACAAAACTGACGACACCAACCAGTACACAAAAGAGCCACAACTCAACGGGATAAACATTCCCTATAATAGTCTCCAAGGCAGGAGTTTCTCTTTTAGTTAAGAAATCAGTCCCCAGTAAGTTTATTTAGACCATCCACACCCAGAGTCCCAGAGTAAGTCCAAAATCTCTCCCAAAGGATGAATAATGACCCATTTTCCTCCACTAAATAATGATACTATCTCATAGAGGGAGCTTCCACAAGGCTTATGAAAGGGCCAAAATTTCCACTTTACATTTATAACAGCAAAAGTGCGAAGCCGATACTTGTTGGCTTAGGAAATCCCAAAACAATATTACCTCAATAATCCTCGAAGACCCCTCTAAGTTAGCCATATTGCCAAGGAAGCACCCGTCAAAGGTTAATTACACTGATTTGTCCATATGGCTGTCAAAAGTGAAGACTTGCCTCATCCTGAGATCAAGAGAGGACAACAGAGATTCAAACCCTCAATATAATACCACCCATTTTCCCCCAAGGTATTCAGTCACCCAAATCCAAAGGGAAGTTGAAACAACCCACAACTCTTTGACAAAAGATAGCCTAACAAAATTCTACCATTCCCCTTCAGTTAGGCAACCCAAATAACTGCCAAAAAGGCTTTAAATCTCTCCAACTTCTCAAAGCCACCAAAGGAAGATTTAAAAAATGGTCCATTATCTCACCACTTCTTTTGCGTAAGAGGCACATATAGGTGCTTAATGTTTTATTAGGTCCTCTCAACTGTGAATCCAAATGATTGTGAGAAAGGCTTTCAAACTGTTCACCTTATTCAAAGCCACCAAAGGAAATATAAAGAAATGATCCATTGTCTACCAATCCCTTTTGCACAAGAGGCACATATTAGTGCTTAATACTTTATTAGGTCCTCCCAACTGAGCAAACTCATCTATTTTAATTTTTTTATCAGCGATGGACAATGCCAAAGTTAGGAATTATCAGGGAAAATTATAATTTCAATTTAAATGAGTGAACGAGAATTATTCTTGACAAGAGAAAATCATGTTTCAAAGTGAAAGAATCACGGCCCTAAAGAGATCCCATCTCATCAGGGATAAGAGGGGAAGTTTTGCAAGTCCATTGGATTCCAGATCATTGTGAACTCCAGTTTGAATACCCAACAAATTCACAATTGGAGCTCCAACAACAAAAACAAAACCTTTTCAACCACGGTTGGCGCCCCAATAAATCTCAATAATCTAAAGAGATGATTATGGGGGCTTTTGATAGGAAGCTAATCCCATCAATATTCCTTCCATAACATAATCATAAATCCATCTCCAAACATAAATCCGACCACAAAGGAATTTATAATATCCCTGCAAGGTGGGCTCCTAAGAGTTCAAATTGGCATCTCAGCTATTTTTCAAAGACAAATACCTTTGATCACCAAAAATCATAGAGTTTGGCTGTCATATAGTCTTACTTATCAAAATATTTATATATATATAGACTTAAAAACCATTTACCAATGGGGGATTTATTCTAAAATAAAATTCCATGTCCCAAGCCCCATGCCAATAAGTTGAGACACTCACAAGGCGATCTCATGATTTACCAAGACACATCCAAAGAAAATCCCTCAACTTTTTCAGTCCCCATCAACAATTGGTACTTTAAACATGAAAAGCTACTCAATAAGAGTATAGGCAAAGATTGCCACCCAAAGAGAATGATAAATAAGGTCCAAAATCTTTGTTTCCCCACAATGGGTGAAAAAAATGATGTATATACCAAAGCAGAGGTGAGAGATAAAGATCACTGTTAGCCTTAGGCCCTAAACCAAGATCAGCTTGGTAATTTTCATGATTATAATCTATTGCTGCGAAATTAATTGTCTACTTGAGCGTGTTGCATTTCAGGATAAATCAATACTCTGGTATACAAAATGTTGAGAGTTGCTCTTATTCAAGGCTCACGGTCAAGGAACTCAAGCTGTTGAATACCACAGTGCAAGACTTGTACATACAAAAAGACTCATAGTTCTCACGGTCAGAATCTCAATGAAGGAACTCAAAGGAAATGAAGATCAAGTTTCAAACTGGGGTAGGTGAAGAGGATGAGAGCTAGAAACCTTGTACTGGAATTCTTATTGCACTTTCATTCTAAAGCTCAACCCTAGGTCTTAAAATTTAACCATTTCTAAAAAATAAAAAATAAAAAAACCTAAACCAATGACCTGACCTAGCAATGCTGAACAAATGACCTGACCTACAAATTGAAATTGAACCATTGACCATCTGACCAGCCAATGAGGCATGGTTTCTAACTACTAGTTTGACCGAGCTCTTTTTGATATTCAAATTTCAAAGGGAAAAGGGTAGTTTGGTAATTTGGACTGCAAAGTACTCTATGCATCATTTAAAGAAGTCACCCAACAAATAAAGTTAAAAGTCTTAACATGCACAAGACAAGATTGTCTCTGAACTCATCCGGAGAAAAAGAACGCTTCACAGATGTACTTAGTTCACTATATGCAAGACACCTGTTTAGACAAAACAAGACGTCTAACATGTGATCTTAACAGCTTGAATTAAAGGCACACTTTGTTTATGTATCAAAGAAAAGACGTCTTCATGTCTCTCTTTTACGCCTTTTTAAACTCACTTTCAAACAAACCTCTACGATCTCAAACAGACACTTCTCTCTCTGACTCTATACATAGAGGAACCCTAACCTTTGAGAGGTACAGACTTAGACTGAAAAACTTACACAACCTCCATACACACATATGCTCTCAAAAAGTAAGTTATCTTGCTTTCCGTGATGCCCAGCAACCACACCCACACCCAAAAATCAGATAGTTTACCCAGCTCACACAACGAATGAATTTGTGTTAATGTCCATTGTAAAATCTCATCTAAAGTTGAATTTTGGGTAAATTGCTTTATATATTCTTCTAGGTTGAAATTTACAGTGAATTGTATATTCGTCCATAAAGGGAAACAGATCATTGTTTTCGAAATTCAAAAGTAGAATAAACTTGTGAGGGTTGGTGCAACCCAAAAGAAATCTTGGTGAGCTGGGTAACCCGAAAGAAATCTTGCAATCCAAAAGAAATCACTGAGGAGTTGTCTATAAACTTGAGAGCTGCGTAAGGGTTACTCTTCACCTTCAACGAAGATTTGTAAGGGGTTTATTTTTTTCGCCAAAAGAAAAGCATTTGTGTAAAAATCTCAAAAGAGGAACTCTTTAGTCGTGGACGTAAGCAAGAGGTTTTAGCCGAACCACGCAAAATCCAGGTGTTTGTCTCTATATACCCTCATCTCCTAGGAAGCACACACGCTCCACCTAGGGGTGTCGTGGCGGTGTCGAACACTCGGACACAGCCCGAACACGGCTAGAATGTCCTGAAATTTGAATATTTCTGGTT